GAAAACATGTGAGAGTAAAGGCAAAAATTAAACAAGAGCTTAGCATACAAACAAGACACAAGAGGCACCACTGACCTGTGTCAAGTACTTAAAGGCTTCAACAACAGGAGTAATCATATCTCTGTATGATTCAATCTGTTGCAAAACGAACCTAATAGTTAGCCCTGTTTTAACAATTTTGACTACAAAAATAGAAGCAGCACCACATTCTGGAGAAGATTGACACCTGATTTACAATTGTCCGAAGCACCGTCATGGGATTGGCATGTGCTAGTTTTGCCACCATCCTTCCTAACGGCTTCAAATTTTCTTTTGCAAGCCGCTTCAGAATATGTCTAGTGTCCAACTGACATACCAAAAAATAGGCTTTCTAAGGTCTGAAGGATTTATATTTCCATTTGTATCAAATGAGAATGACAGGTCAAAGAAGTCATTATGTTATACCTTTGCCACTTGCCTTGCTGCCAACAGTAAAGGATTCCGTTCATCGTCTTTTTCCCACTCACCATATAAGCGATAACGAGCCTAAAGAAAAAAATAATCACCAGGATTGGCCATCACGTTCTACATAAAAATATCTGGAATGAACAAAGAGAAGCAAGTCAACCTCATATGGAAGGAGACTCATCACTTCCCAAATCTCATGACCAACTGCTGGATTTGCAGGTACTAGCTGTAACGATGGCAGAAGGCATGTTCCTAGAGCTTCTTCCACTCTCAACCTAACTTCCTTCAGGTGCACACGAGAAGTTTCATATGCACGACCTTCTTGATTTGACGACCCATCACTACTGCGAACAAGATCTAAGGCCGATAAGTAGTAAACCCTTAATACTCTACAAATCTGCCACAATGGTAAACACATATTAGCTTCAATCTTCAATCTTTTGTATAGAACATTCAGTATTTTAAAGGTCAGTGTACCTTCTGCAACAGTTGTGTATTGCGATACAAGTAGGGCCCAACTGTAAGAAGCATCTGAAACACTTCTTTTGGAACATCTAGACTCCTACTGGATGTTGTACTCGCAACGTGTGTACTCTTTTCTGTGCCCGCAGATGAAGAATTTTGAAAACGCATCTGACGAGCAATGCGATAAGCGTGAGCGATTGACTTCTCTATAAGCCTGAAAACATAGTTCAAAAAAATCGTTGTTGTCATCATAGATTAGTGGCCATAACTCCGGCATTCCTTGGGTGATACATAGTGCTGAAGATGCATAGCAATGACGCAGCTATATATCTGAGGGAAAATAGTCTGAGCTAAAGGATCAGTCACTAACCTAAACAAGCCACCACAAATCTGATCGTGAGCCACTGGATTAAGAGGCGCAAGGCGCTCGAACAAGATATTGGCATGATACCTGGGACAAGTAAAGAGTTAATCTTGGAATGGCAAACTAAGCTTTCAGAAGAGTTCAGTACTTTTTTATAAATGAAGAGGAACTAGTAAACATACCAGTCGTCCACAGAGAGGAAACCATTAAGGAGGCCTAGAGTCTGATTATTTTCAAGCTCAGGTAATCGCTCAGTAACAGCTTCAGTTTCCATGTCTAAAGCAGCAAAAAGATCTACTGTGAAATCTCCTTGTTTCTCATCCTCCATAAGATCCTTCCCAATAGCAGCAAGATTTATCTTTCCAATTTTATTGGCCTATAGAAAAAGGAAGGATTGTAAATATTATATCTCATGATTAAACATGTGAAAGGAATGCTTTAAAACAACAAATAATTGAATGGAGCATCTAAGTATTTATTAAAATTTGTAAAGGCAAGATGAGATTATCGCAAGAGCAAAGGAAACAAGTTTGTTTGTTTGTCTCAAGGGGAAAAAGAGGTTCTAATTCAGAAGAAACATAGATACAACTAAAGCTAGGCCAGAACAAAATTATCTTTAGACATCTATAACCATGGATGATGGATCTACAAACATCCTTAGAAAGGGGTTCATAATTTGAATTGTACCTCTTCGAATCGCTTTGCAGAAGAAGCATTGTAATCCTCAAAAATTTCCTCGTCCTTCGGTAACAGATGTGCATATCTGTTCACACCAGTTGGGGGAAATAACATAAGAACAAAAGGTCCGTCCATAGATTTAGTAAAGTTTCACTTGTCCGAAACACAAGGGAATGTTAGCACTCTAGTAATCCCGAATCAGTGAATTGGTAAAATAAGTTAGCGATTTGAGTGAGTTGCTTGCAAGAAATAAAATTTCTCTAATAGGTGCCCTCCGCAAGAGCAATTTAAAAGTAAGAAACAACTTACAGCATCCAAAAGAATTTCGCAATCAATTTTCTTTCATATTACATTAAGAAACGATATTAAGCGGCATAGATACCAAACAACTAGAAAAATAGACAGTGCAGAAAAGAGGATTATCAAACTAGTATACTTCCTAAGGACCTAGAAAGCAAGAAAAGAAAGAGAGAAAAAATACTCACATGCTCTCAAGACTGATAAACTCCTCCTTTACTAGCAAGGCTGTAAGCTTATATAGCCCAGATGGAACAGGGTTATTCACCTCCAATCTCTGATAATATTGAAACTTAAATCCAAGAATTTGTGAAGCATGAGACTGCATATCAAAGAGATTTTTTAGCAAAAACAAAAAGAAGTCTCTCAAGCTAAGCAGTTGAATATGACAACACAAGGAAGACATTCCAAACCTTGGGAAAGATAGGAATTAGATTGAGAAATGTTTCGTAATCTTGTTCAAGTTCAAAGCAATCCAAAACCTATTCATCAAAAACAAAGAGCACATATATAATAGGTAAGTACAGATAAATGCATTCTGTGATATCAAACAAACAAACATGAGAGAAGCGACTGTGAAAACTTACAATGTCGAAAACACGATTCGGATCCAGGTCAAAATGCCCAATTAATGACTGCAAAGTAGATTTCAGTTCAGAAAAAGTAAACGGAATAAATATGCGAAACATAATATATTGGCAGAATTAAAACCTTGATGATTCCCATAGTTGCTGCTGATGTATTATGTGAAGAACTTGCAGATCCTCGGCATAATAGGGTAACCTGCACTCCACAAAGGAACTACTGTAATAAGTTGGTGTATTTACAATGTGATTTAATCAAACTAATAGAAACTCTGCTGACATATTTGTTTGTTACTCTGCGCAGCTATACTACAATTTAACTAGCAGAAGATTTGCGTTCCAACTGGAACCGTGTGAAAAGGAAAGGCCAAATCAGCATCGTTGAAACGATCATCCCTTCCAAAATTTAAAGAAGAGCATTCCTATGGTGGATTTCAAATAGAGGAAAGTAAAGAGCGAAGATGTATCTAACAACAGAGCATTAAAAAGAAGTAGACAGAACGAATGACGAACCAATTTGGCATATCCCTCGCTTTCTTCACGGAGTAAGTTGAACTTTGTCTGCTGGTACAGAAGACGAGTATTTAATCGCACCTGAGTAGCACCAACTAGAAATGTCAGTTATAAACAATGAGCAGCAGTTGCACTGGTAAAGAAGAAACTCCTTTATATATAAAAGCAACTAACTCAAAGTAACTATTACGTAAATCAGACTACAGTACATCTGGATCTATGACTAAACAAGATAACATCATCATCAAATTACCGCTATCCCTATAACAAACTTGTATGTCACAATAATACAGAGGCTACAGAAGTTTGAAGTCCTCACCTCTTTCCCCTTCAAATCTTGGGCTTTTATTTTAACCATTTCAGCTTCCCATAGAAACTCCTCCTAAAAGAAAATACAGAAATCGATCATCAGCTCCTTCAGAAAGTCACTTTCTTACTAATCAAGAAATAGAGAGATGAGCCAGAAAAAGATAGTGAGACCAGCTTATCCACTGGATCCGGGAGGACCTTTCTACATTCTATGGGATTACTGAGTATTCAACCTTGAAATTTACATCTAGAACTTATAGTTTAGCATATGCCTATAGTGCTCAGTATAAAAAAAAAAATTATTTTCCACTGATTATTGGGCCTTTTCCTGATTATTCATTGGCTGAACTTAACAGAAAAATTACCTCGCAACGCTCTTGGAAAAGCCTTTGAGGAACTGTCTGTGATTCCACAAGCCATTTCGCCTACAAACGAGAAACAACCAATCGGTAGTTGTGAGCATATAAACATTGAGGAGATAGTAAATGATGTAGTTTAAGGAAGAGACCAAAGTATGTAATCATCAAATTCAACAAAATAACATGTATGCTAATAACTAATACAGTGATCAAGTAAGCAACTCAGAGAACGTTATATCAAACTGCATTTAACCAGGAAGAAACTGGACCTAAAAGTATCAGCTACTTAGGCTTAAGGGACCTTCTACGGAGCAGGTATGCATCAGGTTCCTTCTTGCAACCCGCCCAAAATGAGCCAAAGGTTGGTTAATCGTTAGGACACTACTGATAGCAAAACAATACATGCTCTAATATGTTCATCACAGAATGCAATTACATGAACGCTGTGATCTCTAATCTCAAGATGCAATTTCAGAGGAGCTAGAAGTCTCGTTCATACTTAATAACACAAGGCTAACAAGTTCAAAAACCTAATCAGTTGCAAGAAGGTAAGAGTACTGACCAATTTTGTTAAGCGAGAACGGTGATCCGCCGACATGGTAAGCTGCAAAACCAACCAAAGAGAGCACGAAAGCAAACAATCCAACGCTCAGTATCAATCCTTTGTAAGCTAAAAACGTCAAAAAACTGTAAGGTCCTCAAAGAAGGTATTGGAAAGACGTACGTCTTGAGCTATCTGAGTCACGACATCGGCAAAACAGGAAGCTAATTCTTCTCTCGATGGATTATCCAGAAACTTCACCTTCTCCAACACTGCCTTACAGCTCTGAATTGGCAATTCGCCACGAACCTGATTGATTAATCCATTACGATGCAGCTTCAGCAACTCGAACACATATGCATAGGAGGAGCTATGCGTAGATTGTAGAATAGGGAGAGAGATTTGTGTGCTTGTACCAAATTCCAACAGAGCTCGTAGAGAAATCGAAGCATCGGCACGGAGCTGGGCAGCTTGGAACCGTAGTTACCATTCTTCCCTTCGCGAACAAACTCCTCCGTCACGTACTTACACTCCAGTAGCGGAAGGGACATCTTCCACGCTCTCTTGTAATCTTCTACTCCCCTTTTTCGAAACCCTAGAAGACAATAGAAACGAGGTTTTAGAGTGGTGGGGGATTTGATTGGCGACCAGAAATAAGCATTCCTGTTATCAAAAGATCAGACGGAACGAACAATTTGAGAGAGAGGATTAGGGTTTTGTAGAGGATCGAAGTGAAATCGAAGAGGATGATGATTGATGAAGGTGAAAATATATGTTTTTGCTAGGGGACTATTCTTTTCCTATTTTTCTCTTTTTGTCAAATTTTGTTCCTGTCGTCTTTGTTTCATCAAGAAAAATTGATCACCGTACGATCAAAAAATTGATGAAATCGTTTAGTATCGGTAAAATCAACAATGTCCATACGAACCGGATCCGGTTTAGTCCTAGGCCGATTTTGTTTGAATGGGCGTGAAAATTGTGAACTGGCCCATGGGCTCATGGGTTACACTTTAGCTTGCGAGACGATGATTTTTGAGACATCAATATTTTGCGTTTCATGTGTTCTTTGTTTGGAATAACTTTTGGAAAGGTGAACTGGAAAAAAAAAATGGATAGTGTCTTTAACAATCGTACGGAAATTGTCGAGATCGATGAAATCATAAAAATCGAAATAATAGTCATTTTTGCTCAATAAAACTGAATTATGGAGTTGATGGAAATATCCAACCTAAATAATGATAAAAAAAAAATATCCAAGGGACCATAACAACACATGATCATTTAAGCACATGGGTTCCACTGGTGAGAAAAGAAACTCTAACTTGAGAAACAAGGTAACGAACAAGAGATGTATTCACAATCTGTGTGACCTTAAAACAAGATTTTCTCGAGCAACCAAAAAATAAAGTCCTCTCCAGCTAATTCTCAAACACACTTTACCTTCCTTGTCCTGATCCGAATGAGTGTTCAAGCTCGGGAGGTCGCGAGGTTATACTCGTAACAGTATTATCTCCCCGGGAAGGTGAAACATTGGTCATTCCCTCTGGCTCTTCTCCTTTCTGATTGCTAACATAGGCATCTTCAGAGTGTTGGTCGGGTTTCCACTGATGAACGAGTGAGACAAAAACGCTGACGACGTGAGTCATGTCGGGTCTCTGTTGTGGATCCCTGGCACAGCAATGATTGGCAAGCGCAGCTACTGTGTTGATGCTTCCAAGCGTCTCTTGGTTGATCTCAATCGTTTTGTCAATGGCCTTTATGAATGTGTCTCTGTTGATGAACATTCTCCTAAACCATGTGGCAAGGTGAACTTCTTCCTCACATCTCCTAGCGTCAAGAGCCTTTCGACCCGTTAGTAGCTCCATGAGAATCACTCCAAAGCTGTATACATCAACCTTTGTTGTAACTCTTCCGGTCACTGCAGGGACAAATAAATAAAAATAAAAATATCTCAGTGTTAGTTTTAATTTAGCAACATAACATAATTAAGAATAAGAGACCCATACATGCGTATTCTGGTGCAAGATAACCAAAAGTTCCAGCAACTTTTGTCGCCATCGACTGTGCGGCATCAGGAGCAGACTTGACTAGTCCAAAATCAGCAACTTTGGCATGCATATCATCTCCAAGAAGAATATTTGTAGTTTTGAGATCTCTGTGTATGAAACATTCTTTCGCTAAAGTATGCAAATACTCAACTCCTCTAGCCACATCAGACGCAATAATCAATCGTCTAGACCACTCTAGAGGCTTTAACCCTTCTTCCTCCCAGTTGAAAATATGCCTACTCAACGTCCCTTGCGGCATGTACTCATAAACCAGAAGCCTCTCATTGCCTTGTAAGCAATAGCCATGGATTGTCACTACATTCCGGTGGCGAACTTTTGTTAGAAGAGATATCTCCGACTTAAACTCCCCTAAACCATTCTTATTCTCTTCCTCACCTACACCCGAAGACTTCATTCTCTTAACCGCAACCTTCGTCCCATCTTGCAATTCCCCTTCGTATACAATTCCAAATCCGCCTCTCCCGAGTATCTTCTTCTCGCTGAAATTATCCGTAGCGTCCCTCAAAACCTCTATTGACATCACAGGGCCCCCATATTCCATCATACCACTGCTGAGTCCACTTTCACTTCCACCACCACCACCAGCACTTGGGTTCTCTATCGGAATAGGAATCTTGACCTCATCTTTCTCATCAGAGTGCTGTTGTTGAGGATGCATCTTATGATACCGCTTCTTTTTCTTGACAAAGAAGAAAACGGCAAACCCTATAAGAAGCAAACACAACACACCTCCAATCACAGAACCAACAATCTTTCCACCGGAAGAAGAAGAAGAAGCATCAGAACTAGGACCGTCTTTTCCAATGTCCGCGTTCCCACTCGTCTTCAAAACATTCGGACCAAAAACCGGTATTTTACCGTACAACCGATTGTTCGAAACATCAAGCGTTTTCAAGCTACTCAGCTGAGTCATCTCCTGCGGAATCACACCGGTGAGATTGTTCTGAGAGAGATCGATAACCTGAAGAGATTTCAAATCCGCAAACCGTGGAGATATGTTGCCGTTGAGCCCCATGTTCTTGAAGTTGATCACTCTGACGTCAGCTCCGAAACAAGTGATCCCTGCCCACTTGTCACAAGGATCGTTTCCTCTCCAGCTCTCCGCGAACCTCACCGGATAACCAAACGCTTCGACGATGGAAAGCAGAGTGTTGACACGTGGATCACAAGGAGTCCCTGGAGTGTCTGAGCAGAAACTATTGGTCCCAGACATATCAGCTTCTGCGGACTTGAAGCTTGGTGTTGGTCCTTGAAGGAGATTGTTCCCCAACGCCACGTCGGAGAGAGATTTCGACTCGGTTAAAGATGCCGGTACGATACCGGTTAGCTGATTGTCCCTGAAATTGAAACTCTTCAGCGAGACTAAACCGGAAATGTCCGGTATGGGACCTGAGAATCCGTTTCCTTGGAGAGTCACATTGGTTAACGCAGTCATCTTCTCGAGAACTGAGATCGATCCGTTGAGCTTCTGCGCGTTGAGCATCAGGATCTGAACTGGCGACTCGGCGAAGCTCATCGGAAGCTCGCCTGAAAGAGAATTACCGGATAATCTCAGAGTCGTCAAGCCGGGGAACGTTTGGCCGCCGAGAAAATCCGGGATTTTCCCGGAAAGATTGCAGCCGACGGCGGAGAATTCCGCGAGGGAAGTCACGTCTTTCAAACTCGCCGGAATTTCCCATGACGTGAACGGATTGTTGTCGAGTGACACTAGCTGGAGAGAGCTCAGACCGGTGAAGAAATCGGCGTCGATGGAGGTGAAGCCGTTGTCGTGAAAATTCGCCGTCGTCAGAGATCTCAGCCCGGCGAAACTCGGGATCGCTCCTGTTATACTGTTACCCATGACCTCGAAAACAGTGAGAGACGAGAGGTTTCTGAGATTAGGAGGTAACGTTCCGGAGATTTTCGAGTTTCTGATTTGGATCCGTGTGATCCGTTTGCCCACGCATTGTGTGCCTGTCCAGGTACAAGGATCCGACCCGGTCCAGGCGAAATCCGACGGAAGCTTCAGAGAGTCTCTGAGAGAAATCATAGTCGCCGCGTCGGGACTCGCTTGCCCGTACACCAAGGCGATGATACAGAGCAAACAGAACAAAACTCTCATCTTCCGTAACTGTGGAAAAATCTTCCAAGTTGCAGACGGAAGAGGAGGCGATGATTTTACACCGTGACTGAAATTAGGGTTTTGAGCATTGAAGGGGAGAGGAAAAGGAAGGAGTTCTTCGGCGGAGATTTTCTTCTAAGGAGAAAACGAAACGGACGATTTATTGCTTTGGAAATATCAAATTTTGACTTATATTAAAGCGAGGGAAATGCTATCTCTACCTTTCTTTATTTAATTTGATTGTTTTCCTTTTCTCTGACCTATGGAAATAAATAAATATGGAAAAAGCTAGCCAATTAACCATAATTTGGAAATTGGACCTGTTTTGGAGCAATTTTCGGTTCTTGATTTGCTGTAATAATATTTTCAGATGATCCGTTACCAAAAATGTTTCCCTTCATTTTTATTTCTTTTGTCAACTCTCTTTAAACTTTTTTACACATAATGGTTTTGCTCTCTTTGTAAATAACATTAAAGTTTTTTTTGTTTATTTTATAAATAACAAAAACTAAAAATGAAATTAAAGACAATTCCCCCGGATCGCTCCCCGGACGGGTTTAGGAATTAGGTTGTTGACAAAAAAAAAAAAAAAAAAAAAAAAGACAATTCTTTGTAACTTGTAAGATTAAGGTTAGTATTTCGTTGATTGTTGTGTAGATTGACTGCTCTAAACCACGTCAATTAAGTAATTAACTATCCTTGCCTATATAATCTTACTAATTAAGTTGAGAGGATGGATGTCGTATGTATGTATATATAGGAAAATCACATAAAAAACTATATAAGGTTAAAAAGTATTATTACGATGTTATATTGAAGGTTATAAACTTATAATCCCTCCGATTTATATTAAGTGTCGTTTTATACTTTTTACATAAATTAAGAAAATAGTTCAATGTTATATAGTATTTAATTTTTTTTCTTACTCCCTACGTTTCAGAATATAGGATGTTCTACTTTTTTTGTTCCATAATATAAGATGTTTTAGATTTTTTAAAATAACTTTTGTCAATTAATGCTAACAAATTACAAACTTCAAGAGCTATTAATTAAAATTAATTCATTTTTTAATTTTTATTGGTTAATATTTATCAAAAAGTGGTTTGTGTGAGAGAAAAATGCATTAATTATTAAACAATAAATATTTTTTAATTTGTGTGAAATCTCTAAAACATTTTATACTCGAGAACAGAGAGTGTATTTAATTAGGGGAAAAATATATATATATTAATGAGAAAATTGCATTGAAATAAGAAAACACACTTATTTGTAACATAAAAAAATCTTCTAAAATGCACTCATTATAAAAAAAAGAAAGAGAATGTGTTAAAGTTTCGTATTAAAAGTTAAAAACTTTGAGATTTAAAGGAGAAATAGTTATCATTTTGATGATTTGTATGCGATTTTCCTTATATAGTAACTTATGTAACCGTTTCACAACTTCTTCAATAAAAAGTAATAGCGAGTGCAGAGTAGATTCTTTAAAGAGTGGAGCTTTCTAAAATTTGTGGGCACATATGTATGAATGTTCCAGTAGAAGCTCAAAAGTAGTTCAACCTTGAGTGGTTGGAGAGGAACTTTGTTATTAGGGTTGATTTTCCAGTCTTCGGCCTCAACACCAGAGTTCATCCTGAAGCCTAGGTAGGAACTTTGTAAAGAACAATTTAATCTACTCTCTGTTTGTAAAAACTTGATGTTTTAGAGTTTTTTCTTTATTCCACAAAACTTAATTTTTAGATTCTTTTTTATTATTTATTAACAAAAGTAATTTGATTGTGAGATCCAAGAATATTGTTCAATTGTTTTTTTTTTTTTTTTTTGAACAACTAAAATATTGTTCAATTGTTATTGGTTCATATTAATTATAAAGTGGCTAGTGAGAGAAAAATGATGCACTTAAAGCTATATATTAATTACTTCTTAATCTAAGTAAAAATCTTACAACATCAAGTTTTTAGAAACATAGAGAGTATATTAGTGATGAAAGTCCTACATGATAGTTGGAGAAATAATTAAGTAATATATAAAGAATTATGGTCTCTCCACATATTATCAATTGATTTTATGTTGGATGTCCATGTTTAACCCAAATTTGACATGGTATCAGAGCCACCCGATGTTAGGTCACCTGGTGGATGTTGTTCTCACAATTGCACACACTTCAGATGACCTCTGACCGTGAGAGGGTGTTAGCGATGAAAGTCTGAGTTGAAGAAATAATTAAATAGTAATATATAAAAGATTAGAGTCTCATCACCTATTACCAATTGGTTTTAGGCTGGATGCTCATATAGTCATATTTAAGTTTATCCCAAATTTGACACTATCTCAAAGCGTTCTAATTTAAGATGATGACTCATGATCTAGGGTCGGGATGTACTTATTCATCTGCTCTGTGATGTCTAGTAATTTTAGGGTTGAATTCATTGGCGGATCCATAATATTACCCGCAACATAGAAACGATGGAACAATCATTTGCGAAAATGTGATTGGAACGAAACTAAGCAAGTGAACGAAAGACGAAGATGTGTGAAAGCTAATGAATTGAGGTGGGCCCAAAGGCCCAAAGACAAGTTGGGATGGGAATGGAACCAAAGTGGGCACAGTTTATCACTCATTACTCAATAGCATCGAGACAAAAGAAATAAGGAGACGCCATTATCTCTTTTTGTTCCATTCAAAACAGTACAACACACTATTTGGAAAGAGACTCATTTACTAAAACATAGACATGTATATTGTGAATTACATATTTAACACTGATTTTTATCCAACTTTTTTCATTTAACTTGCAAGATGCCAAATTGGAGGTTGAAGAAGGCCAACTGCTGTAATCTCGATGAAAGTGTTCTTCTTCCAATAAGATGAAGAAGAATAGGGAATATACATATTTTGTGTGCTATAATTTTAGAAAGAAAGAAAAAACAAAAAATAGAAGAAGAAGATAAAGTAAAAATAAGATGGAAAACTTAGAGAAACAGCTTATCAGGAGAGAGTATTCTTTATAACTGAAAACATTCATTATTGTTTTACAAGTTTTGCAATCTTTTAATTGTTTTCTACTAAATTCATACTTCAAAAGAAATGGGTTGTTCGGCTATCATAAGAAACTTATTAGCCTATCTTGCACAATGGAGTGAGTGAAGTCAAAAATGTTCTAGACAGTAGGCAAAATGCATAAGAGTTTTTTAACCGCACGAGTGATTGGTAACAAACCAGCGGACCACACAGTATTGAAAAAATGTTCTAGCCAACAAAAAAAAGTTAGATAGAAACGGGACAGAGAAAGCAGAGGCTTTAAAAATCACATGTGAAATATCAGGAAAACACAAAGAAATGTCAACATCAGATGGAAAAGGTAAAGGCGGGGGGAATGAATGTATGGGCTCCATGCAACATTATCAAATGCCTTGCGCTATTTAGATATGGTATGTACATAAGTACTGCCCAAGTTCAATTATTACAAATTCATGAAAAGATCCAAAACTAAAAAATTACGAAGAGTCGAAGACCTCTGAGTCTCTGACCAGTGTGACCCGATAAATAATTTGAACAACGTAATGATGTTTTCTTGTTTCTTTAACTCAAGTATATTCAATTGTTTGTTCTTTCTGTAAGATGCAAAAGTTAATTTCTAAACGTAACCTCATGTTCATTTTTCGAGAAAAACTCATCCGGCCATAGAGATCATCTAAGAAACCCCTATATATATTTTGTGATATATTCTTGAAATGTTTTATAATAAAAAAAATATATATTCTTGAAATGGCCATTAAACTATCTTTCATATGAGAACGTTGTTTGTAATCAATCAGCCATATACAAAAGCGTTTTCAGTGTTCCAAATGTGAGATTATAAGTTTATAACCTTCAATATAACATCGTAATAATACTTTTTTGCAGAAATCCAGCCTTGAACTTCCTCAGAGCCGATGTATTTGCAGTCGCATTATCCACTGTAATGCAGAAGATCTTCTTTATGTCCCACTCCTCAAGAAAATCCAGAAGAACTTGAGCAATGGTTCCACCTTTGTGATCACCAACATTCTTGAACCCAATGATCATCTTCTTCAGCTGAAAATTTGCATCTATAAAGTGAGCTGTTATGACCATATAACTGGCTACAGTGTATGGAGCAACCCAAATATCAGTAGTCAACGACAACCTCTGCTTATTCTTCCCAAGAATAATCTTCATTGTAGCTTTCCTATCAGCATAGATCTTTACTATCTCTTTTGTGCTCGTTTTGCGGCAAACAGGCGTCGGCAGCAACACCTTCGAGCAGAAATGTCTCCATCTTATGCCTTCTATGAAAGCTAATGGCAATTGAGCTAAGACAATCAACTCGTTTGGAGCTTCTTTAACCACGGATTCAGAAACCTTTCTCAAACTCAGAGTTCCATCCGAACCAGTAGGAGTCAGCACAGTCTGGTTTTGGTCCTTAAAATTACCAGCCGCTTCCCAAACCTGAAAAAACTTGCATGTTTGAAGAAGCTTCTTCATGTTCGTCGTACCATTAGACGTTGGAACAGAGAACTCCTTCTTGCAGTAGAGACAATTAGCAAGATCGTAATTGTCTTCGTGTCTTGGGAAATGTTACCAAACCCATGATCTTGCACTCTTCTTCTTCTTACTACCAGAAGTAGTCCCACTAGATCTTTCTTTTCTCTTGCCTTTGTTTCGAGATGTTGGTGGTGGTACTGGTGTTGGAACATCTTCTTGTTGAGTTTGACTAACATCGTCTTCCTCCATATCCATATCATGAGAGCCACAAGAAGCCATCTGCATCATAAATTAACAAATGAAAAACAATTGGTTAAATCCATTTGATTTCAGTTCAACAAAACATTGTTACGAAATGACAGAAAACATTCGACAAAACAATGCCAAACTTAAACATCAACACTTAAGCTAAAAAAACTTAAACAAGAGAGCTTAAGCTTAAATCCTTAAACAAGAGAAAAAAGCATCAATGATCAAGCAAAAACAAGACAAAACCCACTCACAATACTCATCACAGCTTTTCAATATCATCTTAAAGCAACTAAATCTCAAAACAAATTCGAAATCTCTCATATTTTCCGTTTATCATTCTCGTTTTAACTATTAAGCAACTATGGCGGAGTACAATCAAGAATAATCAGAAAACAAGACAAAACAATCAGAAACCAAAAGCAATCAAGTAATAATCAGAAAACGAAACAAGAAAGTGAAGGAGAGCTAAGGAGAGCTAAAGAAAACGAAACACTCAGAGTCTCAGAGACTAAATCGAGTCGAAAAGAGAAGAAAAGGAGAAACAAACCTGCGATTGATTTCTCGACGACAACGGAAGGTGGCGACGTGACAGATTCGGCAAGGAGAGATAAGGATTCCAGTTTGGAATTAGGGTTCTCGGAGGCAAATGGATTAATGAGGCGGGTTAGGGGAATCTGAAACGGCTAATGTCTTAGGGTAAGTAAACCGATGCAATTAGTTTCGGATGAACCATACCCACGGGTAATTAGAATTTTACCCATCGGTTAATTATATGGAAACCGAAATCAATCGGTATCGGGTAAATCAGTTCGGTACAGGTCGGGTATTCGGTTTGGGGTTCCAAGTCGCAGGCCTGTCTCGCCTATTTCATCCCAAAATAGTTAAATCAATGTTCTTTATATAATATCTTGACATCAATATAAATTATATAATCTAATAAAAATAAATTTATTAAATAATAATTTTTGTATATCTATACATTGTCTTTCTCTTATTTTTTTTAAATGACTTTTCATATTCTTGTTAAACTTATTATAGTTATGCAAGCTAATTATTATGAAATTAAAATATTAAAAAGAAAAAATATAATAAATTAAATTTCAGTGATGATGTGGTGAAATGGAGAATTTAGAAGCAACCAAAAGAGAGAAACATGAACTTTTTATATATATAATCCAGTATAATGATTTAAAGATATTACTTATATACTTTTAAAATATTATATTCAGTGAGTATTTTTCTGCATAAAATAAAGTCTTAAATCAATAATTTTTTACTAAACTAAATTTACATGTTTAACTAATTTAAATATAATAGAGCAATTATAAGTTTGAAATAATTTTGAACAAAATTCAAACAATTATTCTATTAAATATATATTTGACATGATTATATCTGATTTGAAGTGAATTTATATGTATGTTTATTTCAAATGATGATTTTGAAAATGAAATTATATAGTACAATCAGAATTTCAAGATTTTAGATATAATTTTGTACAATAGACAAATAATGCATTTTTTGTAAATTAATTATATATACACTACAACAAATTCAACAAATAACGTCACTTTATTAGTGACACTTTCAAAACCGTCATTAAAATTTAAAAAAAGAAGGAGATTAGCGTCACTTATTTAACCGACGTTAGCTAATGACGTTAAAACAAAGTGTCATGTGTAAAATCGATTTAATATTATTCATATGTTTGCCCAATACTAACTTTAACGCCTAATTCATTTCCACGCAATGTACGTATGCGATTTCTTCGTCCTCTTCTTCGATTGAGCTCAATACATGAGAGATTGAGCTCACAGATTCTTCGATTGACACAAATTTCTTCTTATCTTCTTCATTCCGACTCCAATTCGAAGCCACAAGAAGAGATACAGCATTGATTTACAGAAAACCATAACCCATTCGTCCTCTTCCTCATTCCGAAAAAATTGGAGATTGAGCTCACAGATTCTTCAATTGACACAAATTTCCTTTTATCTTCTTCATTCCGACTCCAATTCGAAGCCACAAGAAGAGATACAGCATTGATTTACAGAAACCATAACCCATTCTCCATCGAAGGTTCGTAGATTTTTTCCAGCTATTTGCTCTGTTGTTTTATTCTGTATCGAAGTTTGTATAAATTTTTGATTCTTAACACCTGAATTTCTCGGTATCAAAGGTTTATACAGAAGCGTGTGAAGGTGATTGTTCCTCGTGTGAAGGTGATTGTTGCTTCAAAGCTAAAATTTCCAACTCATTTACCAGGTAAATATTGTTCACTAGCTTGAATTTGATTTGAATATGAAAACATGCTTGTGATTGAACGTATTAGTCATTATGTCATTAGCTAGAAACTTTGTTCATTAGCTAGAAACTTTGATTCATGTGCTTTTGCTTAAACTTTGATTCATGGGTCTTTTCTTCTTAACTTTGATTCATGTGCTTTTGCTTTTGCTTGTGCTTGAATGATAATTATAGCTATAGTTACGCTCTCTTGTGCTTTGTTCTGTGAATGATATTCAACTATGAGGTTGCTCTTTTTTTATCAAATGAAATGAGGATCTGCTTGTTCTGTGACTTTTGTTAATGAAATGAGGATCTGCTTGTTGTTTGCTTTGTTATAGATTTATTGTTTGCTTTGTTTAGGTTGAAATGGATAAATCTTGGATAAGAAAATCTCGTTTGACTCAAGATTACATAATTGGAGTCAAGATTTTTTTAGATTTTGCTTTTGGTAAACTCAAAGCAGACATGCTTAAGTGTCCATGTCAACGTTGTTGCCTTGTTAAATACAAGTGTAGAGTAGACATTGAAGGTGATTTGATGTGTCATGGTTTTCTATACACCTATACGAATTGGTTTCTACACGGTGAAGACATTGAAGCTCACTCTGAAGCAGTTAGTGTAGATCATCAAGAAAGTGTGGATCAGATTGATAGTTCAACCATGAATTTACTTGCTAAGATTTTTCCAAGTATGGATACAGATAGAGCTAGTTCTTCAATGGATACAGAGCCACAAATGGATCCTCCGAATGAGATACCAGATGGTAGTTCTTCTCCAAGCATGGATACAGAGCCACAAATGGATCCTCCGAATGAGATACCAGATGGTAGTTCTTCTCCAAGCATGGATACAGATCCTTTGAAGCAGAAAAAGGCATTTGATGAGCTGATGTCTGATTGTAATCAAGCGTTATACGAAGGTTGTGAGTCATTCAGCAAGTTATCATTCATGCTCAAGCTATATCACATCATGTATTTCTACAATAAGTGATAAGGGTATGTCTCTGATTATTGATCTTCTGAAAGAAGCTTTCCAACATGCTAAATTTCCGGAGTCGTTTAGTGATATGAAGAAAACAATTCACAAGCTAGGGTTAACATATGAGACAATCCATGCGTGTCCTAATGACTGCATGTTGTATTGGGGGGAAGACTCAGCTAAAGAGAAATGTAAAGTTTGTGAATCGTCAAGATGGAAGACATCAGAAGTAGTTGATGATGAAGAATCAGGGAAGAAGAAGAAGAAGAGAAAGAAGAAACAAGCTGTTAAGATTCTTAGATATTTTCCTCTTAAGCCTCGCTTGCAACGTTTGTTCATGTCTTCACATACGGCTGATCATATGAGGTGGCATGCTGATTCCGAGAGCAAAGATGGTAAACTAAGACATCCTCGAGATGGATTGGCGTGGAAGACATTCAACCAGCAGTTTCATGAGTTTGCATCAGAATCAAGAAATGTTAGGCTAGGTTTAGCAACTGATGGTTTTAACCCCTTTGGCACAATGAGTTTGAGCTATAGCGTATGGCCTGTGATCTTAGTTCCTTACAACCTCCCTCCATGGATGTCTATGAAGCAGACTTCAATGATTCTTTCTATGATCATTTCTGGAAAACACATGCCAGGAAACGATATTGATGTATATCTCTAGCCGCTTATACAAGAGTTAAAAGAGTTGTGGTCTGAAGGAGTGTCAACTTATGATGTCTCAAAGAATGAAGTATTTTGTATGCGAGCAGCTTTGTTATGGACCATTAGTGACTTCCCTGGACTTGGTAATTTATCGGGTTGGAATGTGCACACGGGTTTGGCTTGCCCTTCTTGTAACTTTGATGCCACAGAAGTTCGTTTGAATCACGGGAAGAAAAGTTGCTTTATGGGACATCGTCGTTTTCTTCCTCTTAACCATAGGTTTAGGAAAGATAAGCAACAATTTAACGGTGATATAGAATCAAGGATTCCTCCTATAACACCAACAGGCTCCACTGTTCTCCAACAGATTCAAGATATTGAGATTACTTTGGGGAAAAAATTAGATCATTTGGGAAGAAAGAGAGGTCGAGGTGAAGTACATCAATGGAAGAAACGTAGCATATTTTTTGAACTACCATACTGGGAATATCTTTTCTTGAGACATAATCTCGATGTCATGCATATAGAGAAGAATGTGTTGGATAATGTAGTGTTTACATTATTGGATGATAAAGGCAAATCCAAGGATAATCTTAGTGCAAGAAAAGATCTCCAAGAACTTGGTATACGTTCTAAGTTATGGCCTGATCAGAGTGGTAAATATCTTCCTGCGTGTTTTACAATGACTAACGAGGAAAAGGATGTTTTTCTTGATATCTTGAAGAGTTTAAAGCTTCCAGATGGGTATTCTTCTAATATTTCCAACTGTGTTGATCTGAATCAGCGAAAGTTAATGGGGTTAAAGAGCCATGATTGTCACATCTTGATGGGTCAATTGTTATCTATAGCACTACGTAATGTGTTACCTCAAGAAGTAGCCTTTGTTGTTACTGAGTTATGCCAGTTTTTCCGGGAAATATGTTCTAAAGTAATTGATATCATTTATTTGGATAAGTTACAAGAGCATATTGCTCTCACTTTATGCCATTTAGAGATGGTATTTCCTCCTTCATTTTTCACGGTAATGGTACATTTAACCGTTCATTTGACTGAAGAAGTTAAATTAGGAGGACCAGTTCAGTTTCGATGGATGTATCATATCGAGAGGTAAAATCTTATTCTTAAAACTTGTGTCTTGGTTATTTTGCATTATTCTTAAAACTTTGTATTAATCTTTGTGTTTACATTATCACAGGATCCTTGGACATTTCAAATCTTTAGTTAGAAATCAAGCAAGACCTGAAGATTCCATATGTGAGCAGTATATTGCTGAAGAGTGTTTGAATTTTAGCTCCATGTACCTTAATGGGATAGAAACAAGGTTTAATAGGATTGGAAGAGTGGATGATCGGCCAATGGTTGAGAATAGCTTAGGTTCGGATTCACAGATTCCACTGGCTTTTCCTTTAGTTGGGAGATTTGTTGGCGCTTCTAGGTTGGATACTCTAAGTAATTTAGAGTGGCAGCAGGCACATCGATACATACTATTCAATTGTTCGTTCTTGGATGAATATCGCGAGTAAGAATACTATTTAATTGTTACTTATTCTATCTTTCTTCTGAATATTTGAGAATGATTGTTATTGGAATGATTGTTACTTATTTGAGAATGATTGTTTCTTGATATGTTATGTAGGAGGTTCAAGAATGAATTAAGGAGGTCTCAATTAAGACGGCGACGGAGAGGTAACCAAATAAACATTGATCGGCATGTGCATCTCCATTTTGGTAAATGGCTTAAAGAAAGGGTTGGAAAAAATGAAATTCCTGGTTTATCTAGTGATATTCATTGCCTTGCTCATGGTCCATCTGATAAAGTGTTGAAGTTTAGTGCATTTAATATTAATGGATTCAAATTCAGAACTCTAGAAAGAGATCAAGACTTGAAAACTCAGAATAGTGGAGTGTTTGTCTCGGCGGAAACCATTAGTTATGCTAGTTCAAGTGATGTTAATCCAAGAGCTGGAGATGTTTCTTATTATGGGAAACTAGTTGAGATTATTGAGTTGAATTATTATGACACATTCAGAGTTGTATTGTTCAAATGCAAATGGGCTGATACTCGTGATTCTCGAGGCTATAGGAAAGATGATTTTGGTTATGAAGCTGTAAATTTTTCTCGATCAATACACAGTGGAGATGGTGAAGAAGATGAACCGTATGTATTGGCTTCTCAAGCTAAATTAGTTTATTATGTGGATGATCCATTAGAGAAAGGGTGGAGTATAGCAGTCAAAGTCCAGCCAAGAGATCTCTATGATATGGGTGATTTGGATGCTCCAAATGTTATTATTGAAGATTCTCCTACTCAGAGTCCAATCTTAAACTGTGATAATATATCTAGTATAACATTAGTGAGACAATTCGAGAATCTTGACAATTCTTATGCTCCAAGTGATTTAGATACTAATATGGAGGTATGTTTTCTGTTTCTGTGTTTGAGAATATTTGAGAATGATTCTCTGTGTTTGTGTTTGATTCTGTATTTCTGTGTTTAAGTTTGGCTCTGTGTTTGTGTTTGATTCTGTATTTCTGTGTTTGAGAATGATTCTCTGTGTTTGTGTTTGATTCTGTATTTCTGTGTTTAAGTTTGACTCTGTGAATGTTTGAGAATGTTTCCGTGTAGATTAATATTCTGATAAATCTTCATTTCATTCTTTACAGGTTTAAAAGACGTCAAGAATGCCACAGAATGAAGATTTCTTTGCTCCACCTCCTCTTGGACCAGAATTAGCTGGTGGGAAATGGAAAGTTCATGTTATAGGTAAAATGGTTTTCCTGACTCGCTTTCAAACAAGTTTCATTGAACAAACGAGTGTATGTTTATGAGTTTTAGATGATAATTGATGATGATAATAGATGATGATGGAAAGATTACAGAAGAAAATATTATTGGAAAGCAAGTCTGGAGTATGCAGAAACGTCGAGTTATTGTCGAGTTTAATAGGAATGGACAGCCTATCAAAGATTCAGGAGGTTTGTTAGGTTCATGGTTAGGTTCTTTGAGCTATGATCTTAACATTTTACCTATCAATTACACCGATTGGAGGAACATTCCTCAATATAGGAAGGAGATGGCATGGACAATAATTCAGGTATTTTGCTTCTCACGCTCACAAAATAAGAAGTTGTTAGTCTTTTTGCTAATAGTCCTTTTTTAACTAACATTTTTCTATTTGAATACAGAAAAAGTTCTGGTTTGATGACCCAACTAAGAGAAGAAAATATGTAATATCTACATTGGGAAACAGATGCAAAGACTTAAAACGACGGTTTTGGAAGCTATATAGAAAAAATACTCCACTAGAAACAATTGAAGCACGACCAGCATTGATTCCTGAAGACCAATAGAGAGATTTTGTGCATACTCAATTCACAGATAAAGCCAAGGTATTCTGAATATTCACAGATACACTTGTTAGATATTTAAAAATTTTAATGACATTTTTGTTACATTACGATAACAATAGAAAGCAAGTAAGCGTAATAAGATAAACCGAAGCAACTTAAAGATACCATATACACTTGGAAAAAAGAGTATGGCAAGAAGATCTGATGAGATTGTAAGTTTAGTGGTTAAGATTAAGATTTAGTTAGCAATTTGGAATGTGGTTTTGTTAATCATGACTTTTGCATATGTTGCAGGAAAAAGAGAGTGGCGTTGAACCAAGTCGAGGTGAAATGTTTATTGCCTCACGCACGAGATCAGATGGAAGTATGATTTGCGAGGAAGCAAGATTATGTGCGGTTAGTTTACTATTGGCTTTGCTCTGTCTATTGGGTTTGCTCTGTCTATGATACTTTACTATGGTTACATTGTATGATTGATTTTTACAGGACCAGATTAAGGACATTATGAATCTTCCAGGCCAAACATCAAGTAATGATGCTATAACTCAAGTTTTTGGTCCTGAGCATTCAGGACGAGTGCGATGTGTAGGTCATGGTCCGGCGCCATCCAAATACTTCTCAAGTTTGGGCTCCACAACGGAGATAGCTGAGATTAAGTCAACAATAAAGAATCTCGCAGATAAAGTTGATATTATTGCTAGTGCTCTTCATAAAGCTTTGACATGCAACCAATTCCAGGTATGTAATGCAACCAATTCTGGATTCTAATGGTTATGAATAGTTTTAGGCTGTGGTTAGTCATGGCTTGATGGTTAGTCTTGGCTTGATGGTTAATTAGTCTTCGTGGTTAGTGTTTTAGATTAGAACATAGCTTTAGACTGTCCTTAGTTTAGTGTTTCATTTCGGAGTTTACTTTTCTACAGGTGAATGAAACAAGTGGAACAGATGAAAACATATTCCGTAACATTCACAATGCAACAAAAAAGGTAATTCATAATGCTTTGAGTTTCTTTTAAGTTGCCGTTCACAATGCTTAAGCTTAATATGTTTGCTTTCAAAAACAGAGGAAACACCAAGATTTACACAAAGATTTATCTCCTGTTGTTCAGACCACACCAAGAGCTAAGGTATGATTTTTCTTTCCTTGTGATGATCATCAAAAGTATTAATCTTGTAAATTGATTGTACATTTGGAATTTGGCATCTGATTTCAGGTAAGGTGAAACAGCAGTTTGAAGTCTTTGAAAAGGAGTATACAAAGAGATATTGTGAAAAACAGTAATATAATAGTGACATTTTGTATTTTTCATAAAATGACTTGGATATATTTGTATTGGAATTTTTATATGTATCAAATGATTTTTACATGGATTATTGAATTGATTTTTCGGTTTGGTTGTGTAAACCGGCGAGAATTGATTTTGGGTCATTTGATCACTTTCAAAACCGGTGCTAAATTGAACTAAACCGACTACAAAATTGGTTTGGGTCATTTGATAAACCGACGTCAAACTGTGCTAAACCGACGCGAAAATTGCTTATAAACCGTCGCCAAACTCGGTATAAACCGACGCCAAAATCAATATAAACCGACGCCAAAATCGCTTCAAATCCGAAGCTAGATTGAAGTAAACCGACGTTAGATTCCGACATTAGCTTCCGACGTTAAAGAATGCGTCGTTTTTTAAACCGACGATAAGAATTTTAGCGTCACACGATGTGACGACGGTTTTGAAACCGATGTTAACTTTCTCTCGTCGGTTTATAACCGTCGCCAAACTCAATATAACCATCGCCAAATGCCGCTTATCTTGTAGTAATATATATTATTATAAATATATATATTATTATAAATATATATAGTGTTTTGAACCGTTTTATATCCGCTTTTCCCATTCATATATATTTTGAATTATTAAATTTCTTCGATCCATTTACTCTGTTAGTTCCGCTTTTGTTACGTTCGTGCTTAATCCGTTTTCAAAAGTTCTAGGTCTGTGAACTTTTTGTTCACGATGCTTAATAAACAATACTTTTGACGTGCATAACAACGCCTATACGGCTACACCTTCACGAACACTGTTGTTAAAAACAAAACAAAAATGTAACTTTACTTGATTAATTTAGAAAGAAAAAAAAAATACTACTTTGCTCAGTGCCACTAAACAAAAGTCGTTGAACTATTGAAAGAACGAAAAAAAAAAACATTATATTCATTTATACTCTAAACTGGCAGAGACATTATATTCCCCCATGTGTTTCCACCAGACCATATCTCCATCTCTCCAACATTTGTGTTTTCCATATTTGTTTAGACATAACTCTCTCTCTCTCTCTCTCTCTCTCTCTCTCTCTCTCTTTCTCTCTCTCTCCTTCAGTACCTCTTATTCTTCTTATGCTTTTCTTCACCAATCCTATCTTTTCTCTCTGGCTTTTATATTTTCCTTACATCTGTATTGACCCATTTTTGGTATACACAAAGAGTACCACTTTGTCTTTAGATTCTTCTCCCTCCTCTTATTAGTTTCCAAGTCAACCACTTCAGCAGCTTCTGTCGGCTGTGTCTATCCCCAGATCTCAACACATCTTCGTAAGCACAGTACCCTCCATACTCCTTTCTCTCTCTCTCTCTCTCTCTGATCTTCAATTCTTGTTTAAGTATTCTTAGTTTTTGTCTTGGATTCTCTCTCTCTCTCTCTCTTTCTCGTAGTTAAATCTCAAAAGCTTCATTTTTATTGGTCGTTTTATAAAGCTTCGAGCTAGCTGATCCTTGGTCCCAAATTCAACTACTTTCTTTGAGGTTTTGAACTACTCTGTTTAAGTCTATAGTTGTTAGATTTATAGATTGTGTCTTCTTTTGATAAATGATTAATTATCAGTGAATTTCCAGGGTATAAAGCATTTTCTTGATCTGCTTTTGACTTTAATCTGTTATTTTTTTTAAGTTAGATCAATGAAGGAAACTGATGATGTCTCGCAAGGATCACCAGCCAGAGAAAGAGAAACCTCGTCAGATCAAGATCTATCCAAAACCGAAACGATCCTCCCTGTCTCGCTCGATCTCAAGCTCAACGACAGCTTCAACGACGACGACACAAAGGGAACAAAGTGCAAATCCAACCCGAGAGTCTTCTCGTGCAACTACTGCAGACGCAAGTTCTACAGCTCTCAAGCTCTTGGAGGTCACCAAAACGCTCACAAGCGAGAGCGAACGATGGCGAAACGAGCAATGCACATGGGGAGAATGTTTGGCCACCACCATCACAGGCCTTACACGTACACATCTTCTTCCCTCGGGATGCAAGCTCACTCCGGTGTACTTCACCATCCACATCAGCCTCCTCCTCTTGCTAGGTTTCATCATCAAGGGTATTTTGGTAACACTGTGCCAGTGTTCTTTGACTATGATGATGGCAGTGACTTCTACTGGCCCGGGAGCTTCCGCCAGGTTGTTGAAGCTCCGGTGGTGGCGGCTGTTACAGAGTCGGGTCTTGATCTGAACTCTGCTGCAGCAAATGCAAGTGTAGTAGATAATAACAATAGCTCAAGGCCTGATCTTACCTTGAGACTCTAAAGTCATTTTATCTCTTGTGTTCTTTTTTTGTTGTTAGAAATATAGCAGATCATAAGTGGGGAGACAGATGATAGAAATTGATGCAAAACTTTTTCTTGTAATATAAATGAAGTTTGTTACATTTTTATTTCACAAGAGCTCGCACTAGTTAAATTCATCAATTTTTAACAATTTATCAAGGGAAATGTTTTTGAGAACGTTCTTTCAAAAAAAAATTGGTAGGATATAGTAATTGATGTTCATGTTCTTATAAGATATGTAAAAGTTTTCGTGAAGCTATTCCCAAGTCTTCTCAAAATTGATGACATTCTGTTTGTTTTGTTCATGAAAGACAGAGAGACCGGACTGTTAAAAAACCTTTTTTTTTACCTGCCAACAAGTTTTTACGGTTTTGAAAGTGATTTTCTTATATACAACAAGTTCTTATATACAAGTTTTTACCTTCCAACAATATATATAAAATACTTTTGTGTGTGTATATATGATTATTGTTTGTATGTTTTACTACCTATTTAGATTAAAAATCTAAGGTAGTGTGGATAATGGGTATGAATTTAAAAAATAGTAATTCACGAACGACATAAGCATGAATGGATTGAGAAAACAATTGACAAATAGAAAATTAAATCAAGCATGAGTATAATATCTCAGAGGCAACACCAAAAAAATTACATGGATTTGTCAATTATCTATGATACCGATCAGCCAGTCTCCTTTTTTCTGACAAGACACCGACCATTCTGCGACCAATACAAAACGCAGCATATGCATTCGAGTAAGCCATGCGAACATCACTCTCCGTAAGCTCAGCTTCACTAAACCAAGCATCTGCGATGTGCTGAGTTGGTAACTCCATAGACATGAGATCAAACGAGGGAGGGAGAGCATACCCACAATCGAGGTTCCACCACTCAGACGTCCCGACCTCGAGAGCGTTCTTGCACACCAAGCCATACTCTTTATCGAGTGTAGCCTTTGTCTCTTTCATTCCAAAACATGCAAAGGTAAAACCCGGGAAGCTAAGGAAGTTGTAGAGTGATTGGGGCAGCGACACAAAGGCGCTAAGCCTGATTATAAGGCACTGTTTGGAGTCGCAGAGCTGGAGGATTGCCTTTGGAAATTCTCCTGGTCTCACTCGAACCTTTATTAGGTCTAGGCCGCGCGATCACTCTATTGGCGTTCTCGGAGTTTGACATTAGAGATTTTATAGATTCATTGACCCTTTCTTCTTCTGTAGCTACAAATACTTCCAAGCTCTTTGATTTGCTCGTGTCTTTCTTCTTTTCTTTGAACAATTTGCTCATGTCCAACCCTAGAATATTGTATTGACTTTCTCTCATCTGAAATATTGTATTGGTGGTATTTGTGACAAGACTCGATATATTTATACAAAAACTAAGCCGGTTTCTAATCCTAATGTAAAAAAGAAAAGTGTAGAATAATATATTCAACTGACTTGGTTTATTGATTCACAATACAAAGAGTATTTATACACATTGGTGACTACCTACCATAGACTTGAATCTCCTACAAACCAGGAGTTCATACTTATAAATATCTATCCGTAATAATAAAAAGCTTATAAAAAGGAAATAAAGAGAATTGGGAGTCGACTACAACTACGAATAGGAACGCTATTGGTAATTTGGTATGACCAAAATTGTCATTATAATCTATCATTCTTCCGTTCTTACTTCTTACACAGTCATTTATACTTCTTTTTGCCGTATCTTTCATTTTCTTTCATGTTTCAAGTTGTAAACAACAATGTAGATAAAATTATACTAATCACCAGTAGTAACTTGGTGTAGTTATAAATATAAAGTTCTAACTATGTTGGTTAAACAATTCAAATGATAAAAAAATCTGTTTATTCCATTATCCACTTGTTAATTATCTAGAAGCGGTTAGAGAATTGGGAGAGCAGTACTTACGCATGACCTCGAAGCACTAGACAACATGCGTCCCATCTCTATATCCCGACACACCAAAATAGTATCAGATTTTATTATTTTAATTTAAGTTGCTAATTCTGGAAACCAAATAACTAAAATCGATTTGATGTAAATCTGAGAATTTCCCGGGAAAAGGAAAATTTCCAGATTTAGTTGAGAGAATCCAAAATTAGCTAGCGATTCAGAGACTCATCCGCTTCCTCTGGAATCACACAAATACGGATATCTCTCAGATTTCGACAGGAATTGGATTTTTGGAACGATGTTCAACAAAAAGAAGGAATCGGATGGTTCGTCGTCGTCGCTTCCGGGAGGCGGCACGGCGTCTCGAACCGGAGCAGATTCTCCGTTCCTGCAGAAGGCACGCTCGGGGAAAACGGAGATCCGTGAGCTCGAGGCGGTGTTCAAAAAGTTCGACGTGAACGGAGACGGTAAGATCTCGTCGAAGGAGCTCGGTGCGATAGTGGCGAGCTTAGGCCACGAGGTTCCGGAGGAGGTATTGCAGAAGGCGATAACCGAGATCGATCAGAAGGGAGACGGTTACATCAACTTCGAGGAGTTCGTGGAGCTGAACACCAAGGGGATGGATCAGAACGATGTGCTGGAGAATCTCAAGGATGCGTTCTCGGTTTATGATATCGACGGGAACGGATCGATCTCGGCGGAGGAGCTTCACGAGGTTTTGAGGAGTCTCGGCGACGAGTGCTCGATCGCGGAGTGCAGGAAGATGATCGGCGGTGTTGATAAGGATGGAGATGGGACGATCGATTTCGAGGAGTTTAAGATTATGATGACGATGGGATCCAGGCGTGATAACGTCATGGGAGGAGGCCAGAGGTAGATTTTCCACGGCCAATGTCGCCGACTATGTTGTTTCTGTTCTTCTTCTTCCTCCTCCTCTCTTCTTCTCCGTTTCGTCATCCATTGTTTATTCCACCATTGTTTTCAATCTTTTTCCTTTTTTTTTGTTCATTGGGATTGCAATCCCCTCAACCTAACGTGATTTTAAAATTTTAAGTAACTCTTTTTTGTGTTGTTTTTCAGTTCTGCTTCGGAATTGAATTGTTGATGTGAATAAATAATTTAATAACCTTTTCTTTCACATATTGTACATTGCATTTATTCATATGCTAAATTCTGGGTTTGCCTTTTTTCGAACGTCAAAATTTAAAATAGAACACTTTTCATCTTCTTCATAAAGTTTTTCAAAACCTTAAACGTATAAAGTACAAACGCAAACGTCATTAACGTAAATTTGTGCTTGTTCAAATTTCCACTTGGTGAAAAAGTCCATTGTTGACCAAAACCAAATGAAAAGCCCATTAACAATTGACCCAGCCGTCTAAACCGACCCGAATAGAAACCAACTAAACCGCTTCGTCCCGGATCTGATCATCATCCTCGAGAAGCGGACCGGGTTCCGTTTCGTCGGAGCTTGTGAAAGTCATGGCCACTTCGAAAATGGCGATGGCCTCTCTCGCAGCTCACATTCGTCCCTTCACATGTTTGGCGGCGTCTCAGCCGTCGCGGTTGGTGCCTCATCCGCCGGACCTCGTCCGTTGGATCAAAAGAGAAGGCGGCTTCGTACACCACGCCGTGAAGCTGTCCCAGGAGACTCCATTCGGTATCGGCCTCATTTCCACCGAGCGAATCCCTGAAGGCACCGACCTAATCGCTCTCCCTCCTCACGTTCCGTTACGCTTCGAATCAGATGATTCGCCATCGTCCCCTCTCCTCGCCGCTTTGGCCCGTCGAGTTCCCGGTGAGTGTTAGTTCCCAGCTAAATGTTCAATGTTTTGGAACTGGTAATTCAAATATGTAGCTTAGCTCATAGAATTCTGTAAAATCAAATCCCCAATGTTCTGGATGATTTTGAAAAATTACACTGATCGCGAGAAATGCTGGATAAATTTGGCAGAAGAACTATGGGCAATGAAATTGGGATTGAGACTATTGCAAGAAAGAGCCAATGAAGATTCTTTCTGGTGGCCATACATCAGCAATCTCCCTGAAACTTACACCGTTCCCATATTCTTCCCCGGAGAAGATATAAAGAACTTGCAATACGCTCCTCTTCTCCACCAGGTTAGATTAGAGACAGGTTAAAACTAATTCCTTTACCAGTTCCATCAGGTGATGCAGATTTTTGTTGCCTTGTTTGTTTGTGACTAGGTCAACAAAAGATGCCGATTCCTTCTCGAGCTTGAGCAAGAGACGAGACGTGTTCTTGAAGATGTCAAGGCCAGTGACCATCCTTTCAGCGGCCAAGATGTGAATGCGTCCGCTCTCGGGTGGACCATGTCAGCTGTTTCGACTAGAGCATTTCGCTTACATGGTGATAAAAAGCGATCTGATGCTGTTCCCATGATGCTTCCTCTGATTGATATGTGCAACCACAGCTTCAAACCAAACGCCCGGATCATTCAAGAACAGGACGGAGCTGACTCAAACACACTAGTTAAGGTAGTTGCAGAGACTGAAGTCAAAGAAAACGAGCCTTTGCTGCTCAATTATGGTTGCCTTAGCAACGATTTCTTCCTCTTGGACTACGGATTTGTGGTGGAATCAAATCCATACGACACCATTGAGCTCAAATACGATGAACACCTCATGGACGCCGCAAGCATGGCGGCTGGTGTTTCTTCCCCAAAGTTCTCTTCACCAGCTCCATGGCAACACCAGTTGCTTTCACAACTAGATTTAACCGGGGAGATGCCAAATCTCAAGGTCTTGAAACCAAACTCTTATCTTCACTTGATATCTGTGGAAAGAGTAAATAGAGTCTTCTCTATGATTTGTTTTGTTGTTATAGGTAACCATAGGAGGTACAGAGACAGTAGAGGGACGACTATTGGCAGCAATAAGGATACTACTTTGTGGCGAATCGAGGGAAGTAGAGAAGCATGACTTAGACACTCTCAAATCTTTATCCGCCATAGCTCCTCTTGGAATTGCAAACGAGGTTGCCGTTTTCCGGACTGTGATCGCACTCTGTGTGATTGCGTTGAGCCACTTTCCGACGAAGATAATGGAAGACGAGGCCATGATGAAACAAGGTGTTTCAGCCACAGCAGAACTGAGCATCAAGTACCGGATCCAGAAGAAGTCAGTGATCATCGATGTCATGAAAGACCTCACGAGAAGGGTTAAGTCACTATCATCATCTCAGGAGTCACCAAGTGCTTCATAATAATAAGCACCATCCTGTAAGTTCCCTAGCTAGGCTTTGCTTGTTTCAAACCTCAATATTTGCAAGATGAATCTGTTTTAAGATTTAAAACATAATAGCGATCGAGATTTTTCTATGACATGAGAGAAGAGAAGCAAAAGATTTCTTGTTTCAGGATATTAAACAAGAGACTCATTTATAGTAACCAAAGATATTTACATTGAGAGATAAAGAGAAACCCTAACACACAGAGTATGATCACCTATCTCTCTGTCTCTCTTTCTATTTGTTATCAATTGCCAACGGAGATGGGTCTCTCTCTCTCTCCTAAGCCGAGGGGAGAACGGGAACGTCGTGGGACCATGATCTCGCGAAGAACCATTGGCATCTCAGGCTGTCGTAGAGAAGGGTGTTGGATCTTCTCGAACTCTTTCTTGATCTTCACGACTTGGCTATGGATAGGAGGAACACTCTCATGCTGCCCATCATCTCCATGATCGGCCTTCTTCTTCTCCATAACAAATCGGCGATGAAGCCAGAAGATTTCTGTTTGTATGTGTTTATGGATGATGATGTGTTGCGTTTTCTCCTTCACGCGGGAGGCGTGTTTATAAATTATATAAAATCTTTGAACAAAAGTGGACACGAGTTGTTGATGAAGTAGAAGGGAAGTTAGGTTGGTGGGCAACGCCAAATTAGTCTCTTACACATATCTCTCTCTGTGTGTTAATATATTATTTTAAGAAGAATTGTAGTAATTGATCTAAAAGAAAGAAAGAAAAGAAGAGTCGTATCATTCTTTCTTGTAAACACCATGAAAAAGAGGGTCGGTGTTGGGTGAGTTGTGGTTACGTGTCAGCAACAAAGCCAAGACACTTGTTAATTGTGATGGTTACTGGTACGCAATTCCATTTTCCGTTTTCTTCTTTAACCCAAGACAAAGAAGAGACTCTTCAAGATTCTGTTAGGTTTCAAAGTTTTAGAAGAGGCTAAACAAATTAACAAATTAAATTGAGAAGAGTCGAATTGAAAGAGACTTGAACCTACTTCTTTGTAGGAGTTGCTTTTGTTTGACGGGAAGCATATACACCTCTCAATAGATTCTAATTGGAATTTATTTTTAAATAACCAAGAAATTCAACGTTTCCATCCATAGTCTTCCTAAATTCGTAATTTAGATCATATTTATGAGAACCATAGGTTATTTTCCCTTAATGTATCATATAAGATTCGTACTCGGATCCGGTAACACTTAGGCCAACTGCACTTGGATTTTTTTTGTGGGATTGCATTTTCTTTGTCAAATGAAACCAAAACCAGTTTACATTTTTTATGCCGTTTGTTTTGTATAAAAAACCAGATTATGTCGACTGGTCATCAAATTTTCCTAACTTTTATAGAAGTAACACAATCTTTAAGGCTCATGCAACAACCAATGTTTTTTTTTTTTAAATTTGGTTTTAGCAACAACCAAATTACAAATACATGATTAATATATAAACCACTTATATAAATAAGTAAAGATTAAAAGTAATCTGCTTTGAACTAGGTGAAATGTATAGAGATCTACAAACAATGATTTATCATGATTTTTGTGTCTTGGGTGTTAGTATAATTTTATTTCGTCCATGTAAATATTTGCTAAAAGAAAATGAGTGTACTTTGATGAAAAAAACCATCGAAATTACTTTCAAATTGATCTCGAGAAAAGCAAAAACAATTACTGTTTGGTAATAAAAAAATCGCATCGACCGTTCACTCGTTCAGAGCGTCAGATTATAAAGTATTTTCAACGACCGAAACAAAGACAGACCATCAAATCAAAATCAGAAAATTGAAAAACCTGATTAACGGAAAAATAAAAACAAATCAAATCCGTTCATATCAATCATACCACGCTTCTTGAATTCAGTGGGACCCATACACTCCACTCCACTACATCAAACTTATTTAGATTTGATGATCGGAAAAGGCCACTAGGTCACGTGTAACTTTCTGTTTGGATTTTCGTTTTTCTCCGACGTAGGAAAATCGTAGCCGTTCGATTTACGGTCAAACATACGATCTTAGATACGACGGCGGGTCTAATCAGTTTCCATCTATGACCGAGGATTCGTTTAGACCGGTAAACCAAAATTAATTTTCAATACGATATTTGTTTTTTCATCGTTGATTTATTTAAAAGACCAAAGAAAGTCTTTCTTGAATCTTGATTCTTGACCCTGACATATATTTGTTATTTTTAATAAGAGATTTGTTATACATTTTTATGCAAATAAAACCCGAAACTATACTGAATTTCTGTTTGCGTTTTAGATCAAATTCTCGATTTGCATTTTAGAGAAAATTATAACTTTATAAGTTAAAAGTTTAAACACTTAACATACACAAAAACAAACGCAGCAAAAAAAATTCCATAGTTAGAGAACATATAGTGTTGAAACGTAACTAGTCTAACTACTTTGGAAGCTCTAAGCTGAATGAGTGTTTTTCATTCTAGGTTTGACACACACACAAAAAAAGTGTATTTTCATTCTAGATACAAACAAAATTACGAGAAATTAAAAGCTTTAAACTGAAAAAACCAAAACATATGATTTATATATGAATACATTTAGGAGAATGGGCTGGGTTTGTGGATGGAAATATGATTTGTATTTAGTTACAAAAGAATAATAATATATATTTGTATTTGCTCTTACTGCAGGAGAATTTCTCTGCCTAAAAATAATGCTATCATAAATAGATTTCCAAATGATGACAAAAAATAAATTCCAAATGTGTGCATCTAGATATAAAGCAAGGTAGCTTTATTAACATAGGAGACAAGTTGTTCAGAAGAGGTTCTGTAGTAACTCTCAGTTCAACAGTATTTTCTTTAATTGTATTTTGTATAAAGGCTTATACTTAGTTATTTATAGGACAACCAGCAACTGTCGCCAACATAAAAACGAATGATGGTTATTGTGAAAAAAAATAGAAATTATGGAGTCCTTTTGATTTTTTTTAGCCATGAACTGTTTCGTTAATGAATTTGATCTCCACGAAAAACAATAATTACTACTATATAGATGTATTCATGTTACTACTATATGGATTCATGTTAAAAGAGATGAGAGAATCACGTGAAAGCGAGTTATGCATCAATCGTACGTGCGTGCGTGAATCGGTAGAGGTTATTATTTGGACATGGTGTATCTTTAAGAGGGAACCAGAATCTACCCAAATCTGTGCTTTTATTATCCATTTCTTTCTAGCAAACTACTGTAAAAAAGCCCTTTTGTTTCAAGGGAGTCATATAATTGCAACGCAAAATCCATAACATATGTCATATCATATGATATAAACTAATCCAATGTAATTAAGATCGATAACACAAATAAGTTCACTTGATCAGCTCTGAATTAATGTCATCTCTTCCAAGCAAAGATTCGAATTCAGCGATCAATATCACATTATATAACATGGTCACGTTCGTGTGAGCTAGAAAAAAAAGTCAAAAACATATGATTTGTAAATATAGTCATAAGACTCTTATGACTATAGCGGTTACGGTTAATAATTTTTTTAACCATAACTAATATTTTTTTACGGTTGACGGTTACGGTTTAAACCGGTTTATACGGTTACGGTTTAAAAACGGTACGGTTACGGTCCGAAATACGGTTACGGTTTGATTTTGGTCATGCCTACATAAGAGAGATAGAGCAAGAGAGAGAGGCATTGTGCAGAGAAAAAACCCACGCGTTTAGGAGAGAGGCGACAATTCTGGTATCAACTTTAATGTCGTACCCGTTGCATGTAACCTATTTTCCTAGCTTTGCCCCTTCATTTTTGCCTTCTGTTTTCCTTTTATTTGGTTCTCAGACGACATTTCAACTCCAACCCTTATTTATAAAATGTAAACAAACTATTATGGAGTACTATGGACCGTTACATTTCCGTCAAGCTCACATTTACTTCTTCCTCCGTTTGACTTCATTTACTTCTTTTTTGAAGCAGTGACCAAAAATATTTAAAATATTGTAGTAACTAGACAGGTTATAGGAGTATATTTTTATTATCCTTTACGAGAAATAATACTCCACTGCGACCCCGGAATTCTCTAATTTCTTACAGCATTGTAAGTTTGATTTACAAGTTTTTAAAAATCTATATCCTTAATCCTTCAAAGCTATGATAAAACTTGTCAATTCTTCATTAGCCTCAAAAGCCACGAAACAGACTGAAGCATGCAAACCAGAATAATAATATAGGAATATTCTTTAATGTTTTGTTCACAGCTTGCCCGTTTTTTTCTTTCCATAAGACAAAATGACCGTCTCCATGGTCATAAGTCATAACCGCTAAGAATGCTAATCTGATTTCTACGAAGAATTAAAGAATGTAGCATATAATTCACACTAGTTTCTTGAATCTCCCGTTTTACATAGCAACATCTCCCCTACTTGTGAGATTTGCGTTTAGTTTATGAAGTTTTGACCCTTTTCTTGCCGCCACTTATAGCCTTCTATCAACCAAAAAAATATGTACGTCTTCCCACAATTTATCCATGTTTTCTACAAGTAATTTCGACGCCTGCAAATTGGGATCTATAATCTATGGTATATAGTGTATGATCCAGGCTACAAGGAATTTACGAGCACCTTTTCTTCAATCTCCTATGAACCTAAACACGGTTTTGTCAACGTTTGCTGGGAAAACCTAGTTGTTATGTATATTTTTATCTGCGTAGAGCCTAATGGAGATCTTTTGTACAATCTTCATAATGTTTCCTGAGACAGCCCTAAATGTTTTAAAAGAACACATTACACATGCAATATGCAATTAACAATAATTGCAAGTGGTTATATTACAAAGGAAAACATTTAAAATTCATATTAGGATTCTATAATCAATTCTAGGCGATCGATACATGAGCAATAGTTACGAGATAACGTACGTAATATTGTACTGTATTTACTATTTACACTTCCTAATGAAAGTAATTAAGAAATTTGTTTTACAGCATGATATTGCATGCAAGTATTCAACACATGTGATACTGATATTACTTTATCGGTCTAAGATACCCTACCGACATTAAGCAAGGTCGTAAAAGAGATTCGGGTGCACAAACTATGTGAAATTTAATCAACAAAAAAATGGAAGATAGTATGAAATTAGCGGTGGAGATTAATTTCCGTAAACGCGAGTGGTCATTAGTCACAATCGAGCAACAGTAGGAAAGCCCTAAATAAAGAGCCTACACCATGAAGAAAGAGCCCTAGTTGAGACAAATCCACGTGACTTTGGTTTAGAGATTAAATAAAGCTAAACCCTAAATAAGCAAATCGACCATAATCTCGTAAAAAGAACAGACAAAACATAACCTCATGTAGAAGGAACAATTTCTGAGCGCCGCCAGTGTTATTAATTCAGAATCATAATTTCACGATTCTCAACTCTCTCCGTTCAGTTCAACTCCCAACATTTCCATCCAAAAACGACTGTCTAAATCATCTTTAACTATTTATTTATCCTTATTACTTCCTAAAATTAATTATTACTTTTATTTCATTTTCAAAAACACTATTCATGAAAAAGGTCTCCAGAGAGAGAATTGTAATCTTTGAAAATGTTAAAAAAATGATGTGAATAAATTTCGTATTTTTGAAATAGTCAGAAGTTTCAATAGTGATACAAGCATGGAAGTTTTAATTTTTTCGTAAAGAAAGTTTTCAGAAAGATTAATGACTTTCCCTAAAAACAATAGAATAAATCGAAAATATACTCCCAGGGGTTAACTTAACATTACCGAGAGAGCTTTAAACTCTGACAAGAGGAAAGTAGGGTCCAAGGGTTAGGATAGAAATGGTATATAATAATTACGGTATTGTTACCTATCAAAAAGACATGTAACTTATTACTCTAATTTTATGTAAGTCCGTAGAAAAGTAAAGAAATATAAGTCCGAACGTGGAACATGAACTTTGTTAAACGTACTTTTGCTTTCTACATCTCTCATTTCATGGAGTCATAAATCACAAGTCAAAAAAGACGTAAGTCTCTTTTATTTTTAAATAAGAAAATGTGTTATTTTTTTATTCTATAAATACGTTACCAGCTACCATCAGTCCATGACATCCAGGTGCCTCAAAACCCTAATAGTACCACAGAAAAGAAAAAGAAGTTCACAGCTGAAATTAGAAAACCTTCCATAAGGTCAACCATGGAAGAAGCTATAATGAGACTTGAAGGTGCCGAGCACAGAGAAACCATCAACCATTCTCTTAAGAGAAAGCCATCAAGACCTTCCTCCACCGCTCCTGCCTCTCCCAAAGGAGTAACCACCTCAAAAGCTACCTCCAACGCCGGCGCTTCCGGTGGCTCCACCATGAGGTACCGAGGCGTGAGGCGTAGGCCGTGGGGTCGTTACGCTGCTGAGATACGCGACCCGATGTCGAAGGAGAGACGATGGCTCGGAACATTTGACACGGCGGAGGAAGCAGCTTGCGCATACGACTGCGCCGCTCGAGCCATGCGTGGTCTTAAGGCTCGAACCAACTTCGTCTACCCAATTCCTTCACTTGAGTCTTATCACCACCGTCTTTTCTCGCCTCCTCCGATGAACATGTTCCTTTTACGCGACGTTCTAAACTCTCAGTCTCTTTCTCCCTTCGCTTACTCGCCTTGTAATCTCTCTAACGTAAACGGCGTCGTCCACGAGTCCTTCACCAACGTTAACGATGTTTCCGAAGATCTTTCGCCTAAAGCGAAGAGGTCAATCACTATTGATAGCGAGAGTATGCCCTCAATCTTCGAGCCAGAACCAGCTAGTTCCGGTCTTCTTCAAGAAATAGTTCAAGGCTTCTTACCAAAACCTAACTCTCAACAAGTTTATACACCTCCAACGACCAACCAACCGTCGACTATTGGTTCTTTTCCGACAATGCTAGAGACCGGTTTTCAGACAGATCTTCGTCTACAGGACCACGTCAGTGTCGATGGAAACGGATTCGGTCAGGTGAAATATCATGGAGAGTTGGGTTGGGTTGATCATGAGACTGGGTTTGATTCATCTAAGATGCAGCAGAACGGAAATGTTGGAATGTTTTATCAGTATTGCTAATTTCATGATTATTAGAACACTAGTATTGTTGCTGTTCTTACGTGTTTACCACTTCACTGTTTTGTAACAATGTCGTTTGTTTCTAAGTCTAGTTGAATGATCAAGGTATCTCTTGTTTTTGCAAGGACAGTTTTTATCTGAGCATGAGCAAAGTTAATTAATGGTATATGGCATATGTCCTGTATGAGCAATGTTCGTCATAAAAATAGATGACAAAAGGAAAAAGAAGGAGAGATAAAAGTACTCGAGGGGGATGAAGACAGCACCAAAAAGACAAAAAGAGATCTTCAGGAACAAAAAAAATATTTTTCTGTAAGTTGACTTCTGAATTCATAAAGACAGCTTTTGCTCCTTTTTACTTTCCCTCTCGAATACTCGATACACCCTCCTTTGCCGGTAAATTGTCACAAATCCTAAAGGCTCGACCAAACGTCAAAGTATATATATATAGATTATTTGAAGTTGCATAAGTTTTGGTGAAATTACTTAAAGAATCCATAATAAGAGAAAAAAGAAAAAAACTCAAGTTCGTGTGAGTAGCTAGCAATGGTTTTATTCACACAAGGCTAAATGCACGTAGCACCGGGCATAACAATTACAAAATGAAAAAGAAAAAAACTGAAGTCCAAGAAGTTTTTGAAAAGAGAGCTAGCTATCCAAATGAGAATGACACTGTTACATAAAGTACAAATTTGGTAAACAAGCTAAAATAAATATAATAATCGAATTACAAAAGAGCAATCAATGGGAATCAATCAAAATATCAATTGATATATATCTCATATGGCTAGATAAGAAAGCTCTAAATTTGGATCAACAAAAACAACCATTTGACTTTTGATCTTTTTAGGGCTTCAAGTATCTGAGGTTTTCTAAATGTTACTGTTCGAGTTAATACGGTATCGAACAATGTCGTGACTGGGCTTGGTTTCAAAGGATCAAAATAGTAGTTACGGTTATTCAATAACATTTACACTTGGAGGTGAGAGTAGCTATTCCGTGATGGGCTTTCTAAAGTCAAACCCATGATGGGCCGGATCAACTTGGTTTGCTCAAAAGCTGCATCACTTTTTGACCAAAGCAACAAAGACAATTCTACAAGACGAACAAAACCACGTTTTTATTACGTTATCCACTAAAAATTGCGCATTAGATACATCATTATTAAGGCATCTAATTCGACCAACTATGACGAATAACCAACAGTAAACTACCATTTACCGTTCCTTTTATAGCCTGCGCATATACCTCAAGGATCCAAAGTTGTTCGAAAAGACGTGCGCTATGTTATTAAAATTTAAAATCATCTCCAATGAAAAATCTTGCTTGTTGTTGAAGCTAATATCTTACACACTATATCGCATTAGATCCGTATCTATCATTAAACATGTGCAAAGAAGATATCAAAGTTGGCCAAAAACCTCCAAGAGTCTATTTCCATATTTGCTCGGACAAGACACAAAGACAAAAGGGAATCAGATTCACCCTCATCGTTTTTTTTATATTCACTTTCAAGAACTATACATCTCCTATATAAAGATATACCTCAGATAGTTTTCAAAGGTATCTCTAACAAAACAAGAAAAAAAGAGAGCTAAGGGTTTTATTCTGCAGAAGAAGAATGGTACTTGAAAACTCCTCCATTCACAAATCTCATCATCATCATCATCAACATCAACCTCATCATCATCACCGGAACTCGATGAAGGAGTCCCCCCGAGTTACCTATGCAGCTGAAGAACAGAGTCAGGTCTTCCAGTATCCGGATATGAGGAGGACTAAGAGCGAGAATGTGGGTGCAAGAGAGGTTGCGAAAGAAGATGATGTTGACAAGGAAGCAGAAGAATTCATCAACTTTGAGCATCGGAAGTTCTGTAAGTGGATGACTAAGAGCGTCTAGCCTAAGGGCGAAGAATAAGAAAGAATAAGAACATACCATATTTTATATAGATTGTGTTAAATGATGATATGATATTGTGTTCGTCTTCTGGTTTTTGTTTTGGTTTTTTATGTAACAAAATGGATGTTGTCTGTGCATGCATGGAAATAAAGACTACAGTCTATGATTGGTTTTTGCTATGACTTTTGGGTTAGTCCACCACTTAAATGCAAAAACTATCACGTTTCCAGGGTTTTAAAACTGATTTTATGAGGTTGATAACTGTTCCATCCAACAGAAATCTACGCTATATCGTTTTAGCAATACATTTTGTTGGGAGGGGGGGGCTAAGAAAGTTCAACCAATAATCTCTTAATCAAAAGTAACTATGGCTTCACTTTTGTGACAATTTTCAGTTAATGAGATGCATGTATTCCTTGTCAAACAGATCAATAAATAGGAATTATTTGGGTTAAGTGGCTAACTAATAATCTCAAATGCTTACTTGCTTAGACCATCCTCATCCGTAAACCACTCATGAGTGTCTTAACAAGTTAACATTATTCAGATTAAATTTAGAGACATTATAATAATCTCAAATGCTTAAACATTCTATTAAATTAAGAGACATTCTGATAATCTCACATGCTTAGACCATCCTTATCCTCATGAGTGTCTTAATTACATTAAATTTAGAGACATTTATCATTTATAGGGATCTAAAGTGTCTTCCTAGAGACACTTCATTAAATTTAAAGACAACCAAATTTTTGTTTCTGTATTTATTTTATTCTTAAGACACCCAACAAAATGACCAATGAGGATGCCCTTATGGTGTAAAAGAAATATACTTGACTTATATTATTGTAAGTTGTGGTTTATAATATTATGTTTTGGTATGTAATTCTTTTAAGCACATCTCAAAACGTAGACACATTAGACAACAAAAACATAACAATTCAATTCAAGTCCTTCTTTATTATGAAAAAACCCCTTTTTCCAAGACCAAACAAAGGGGGGCAAACATAAACACCAGAGGGTAAAACAGAGTAACCAAAAAAGGGGCAAAACAGAAGATAAAATGTGGTATATCGTATAATATAACAAAAGGAAAGTGTTAAAACGAGATTCCACCACTAGAGAATGGATCTGCAAAGAGGACATGTGGTGTGATTATTACCAAACCAGTTGTCTAAACAAGCTCTGTGAAAGAAATGCTTGCAAGAAACCAACTCACTCACTTCATCTTCCTCTTTAAACCCACAGAGACACACACAACACTCCACACCTCTCTCTTCTTCTTCTTCTTCTTCTTCTCTCTTCTCACACATAGACTTAAACTGAACAATCGAGATTCTTCTTCTCCTCCTTAAGAAACCCTCTCCAGACTCGTCTTCCTTTATCTCCATGGATGCTTCTTCGTTCTCGGATCCAACAATTTGAAAAACAGACATCACCATGTTCTTCAACAGGGTAACTGAAAAAACCGTGTTCATTACCAGAAGTGGCAGTACTCCTTCCGGAGCTGTCGGAAATTGCGAAAGACCCATTTGTTAGTTATATTCACGGAGAGTTTGTGAAACGTTTTTGAGAGTTTGAAAATCTTGAACAAAAGGAGAGAAGAAATAGAGAGGAAAAGATAGCCGCCACTCGTATTCCGATGGGTTTCTTTTTTTAACCAGCGGTGTTGTAAACACGTGTCACCACGAGAGAGGCTGTCGTTAGAGACTCATCCCTCTCAATGATTTGCGACTTTGGTAACTTGTGTTTCGTCTTTATATAACGAAACGATCAAAACTCTCTCTGTTTTGTTTTTCTGTGGTCTGCTGTTTCTCTGACACGTGTTGTGGTCAGCCAATCAGATGGTGCGTTGTGGAGAGCTCCTTGTTCTCCCGAGGTCGTTCCACAATCGACACGTGGATACTCAACTATTCACTATTGCTAAGGAAGCATGCCACGTCATATGCACGGACGTGCTGACACAAGAACAAAATGAACAAAACTTTTTGTGGCCACAAAAGTGATTTGATAAATCATGAAGAAATTATTGACAATCTAATTATAGTGATTGGTATCCAAAAAATATATATATTACCCTATAAAGAGATGTATGTATAAATGTTGTGAAGAAGCTAAGCACCTTAAAAAAACTTCTGGCTACAACTAAAATGGTAAGGTTTCTATCAAAAGGTGGTTGAATTGGATGGGCTTTGAACTTGTAACGATTTGAAATAATCCTTCTCCGCGTTATCCACTCTGCTCTCGAACATTTTCCATTCTACATGGCATCTATCTCTCACCTGCAAAAACACAATAGCCACACACAAATTTTAAGACATATATATGGACCCATCTAGTTGCTTGCTTGTCAAGGTACTTGTCCAAGAGAGCCTAGGAAACTCTCCAAAACAAGACCAAGCTTTCTTACCCCTTGCCATGGAGATTTTCCTTCTTCTGCCTTTCCCTGGCTGCCAAGTGAAGGGATAAATTGGTGAACGATCCACTGAGAGTCTACTATTCCTATCTTCTCATATGCAGGCTCCTTCATTTTCACATACGGTACGACTCTTCATTACTTGAGCAAAACATTATATAAACCCTAAGAAACCTGGTAATCTTTTTGTGTACCTGAACACATCTTCTGAGTGCAAAGTCAAGACCCCATCCGTGAACTAAATCATTCTGTTTAAGTAAGAGTTAAAAATGTGGAAATGTGTCTTTACAAATAGAAGAAGCCAGTTGAGAGATGATATAATAATTGTAACCTGGATCAAATGCCACACGCAGCGCCATGCATCTCTTGAGAACACAGGAGCCATTATCTCCACAAATCTATTGTGTTATCAAAAACATAATGTTATATATGAGGAGATGTGAACACTGAGGTTGATAGAGTTATATTTTTTAACATACCCAGCACATGGAGGCCGAGGAGGATCAGAGCACCATTCTATTTTCTCAGCTGTTTCCCTGATAAGTTTTAAAGCCACATATATAACATTTTGTAAATGTAACAAACATCATCCAACAGAGGAATTTATGTATGAGTCCTATATATATATACATACTTGTGGACTTCAATATGTTCTCTTCTTTTAGTGATCTCCCATGTAACCCCTTTCTCTGGGTCCAAACTAGGCTGTGAAATCTCAAGGCCATGCTTTTTGACCATGTGTAAGTATCTGCAACAACAGACTTAGTTAGAAAATTGACTAAGAAGATGGGTGAGTGTTAAAAAAAAAACTCACTCTTCTGCGTCAAAGTGATCTACTCCAAGATCTTCATCCCATATGAATATATAATCGTATCGCGCTACAATGTTAGGGTGCAAGAATCTCTTTGCATACCACCTTATATTCACAGACGAGAAATTTGATTAATTAGAGGGAAAAAAAATGTATAAGACTTTAAGCAAAGCTAGTGATACCATTTAGTCTGCTTCAAGACACTGATGTGTATTGCATTCTTCGACCACTCAAATTCATCATTCCACTCGCTTGTAATCCCATCGTAATGAAACAGAACAATCGTAAAGTTGTCTGAAAACTGTTCTTGAGAAGACAAAACATAATGAGTTTACTATTAAGCAAAAAATATAAATTAAAAAAGAAAGGAGATGAATCAACCTTCCTTACACATGCATCTATATTGTATCTCTGTTTATAGCCCACTGTAAATGTTACTAGATATCTCGTTTTCTTCTTCAAATCCTGAGGAAACAGAAGCTAGTGTCACTGATCACACATGAGATAAATGTAAAAAAATCCAAGAATGAGATTATTGTTTTGAGCAACAAACTTCTTCAGGGTTTCCCCACAATCTGCGCAAGTACAAGTCTGATTCAGATGCAATAATTCCGGGTGGTAATCTCTCAGCGCCTCTAGGATTTGAAGGAATCCATATCTGCACAAAATGTGAATTACAAAAAAAAAAAAAAAAAAAACATGTCTTAGGATTTGGTTTAGTTCTTGAAAAATGCAAACAAAATGTTCAAAAATATTACATAAAACAACACATGCCTTATCAATGGGAGTTGCAATATGCGAACCTCTATGTGAGATAGTAAGGGAACGAAGAAGGTTTCTAGGTAGACTCGCCTACAAAAAGACAAATTGGCAACAGGTGGAGAAAAAAACACAAAGAAGATTAAGAAGAAGAGTTTGGTGAGAAAGAAGATTAAGTAACCTGAGTGATCCAGAAAGATGGAAAAGAGAGTCCAAGGAGAATGCCAAAAGCTACAGCAAAGGAAGCAGTTGCAAGAAGCTTCATGCCATTGTCTTCTGATCTCCTACTACTAGTTGGGCTGTAATAACAACAATTATCATCTGTTTTCTCAAAGCTTTCTGTGTGTCTTTAGAGAGAACAAGAAAAGAAATAAGCTAAATGGAACTTTTACCTGCGTGACAAGATTCCCATAGTTATTGTTTTTAATTCCAACTCTTGACTCTAAGCTCCAAATGTCATCAAAACACCATTAGTCCTATTAACTTGTACAAACAAAACTGTAATGAGTCATATTACTCGAGCGAGATAATCAATTCGAATGATCTAAACCTAGACTAAATTTGCTTATCCTATAGATTAACAAAACAGTGGTCTATTCACGTTGGATCAGAGATGTTGCTTAAGATGTCGAATCAAACGGCATTGGTATTACAAAGAGAAAACACATATTTTGTATCCAAATTAACAACAACAATAATAAAAAAAATAAAAAAAAAAAAATCTAAAAAGATGACATTACAAAATCATAGAATACCCCTGAAAACTTTGAGAAGAGAAATGTGTTTCGATCAAATTAGTGAAAGTTTTTGGAGATCATTGAGAATTCAGAACAGACGCGGGTTTTTGCTTGGTCTCGAAGAAGAAGTGTATTGTAAATCTCTATTGTTTTTCAATAAAAAAACAAAGAAAGCAATATTTTCTTGTGTGGAAATTACAGATTTTCTGTGATATGATTAGTGATTTGGCACATGGAAATGGAAGCCAAAAGAGGAAGTGTTTCCAAATTATTAGTTAAAAATAAATAAATTATAATTGGCTTTAAATTGGGTATTATTCATATGTGCGATTTTTTCCCGTTTTAGCAGGTGTCTAAATGAGAACCCCAAACCCAACCAAACAAGAAAAAGATCAAGAAGTAATAACTACAAAGTACCTGTTTGAACGGTTCAAAGGTCACATATATCACCTTTTTTTGGGGCAACTATATCACAATTTAATTTTTGAAACAAATCACTATTTTATGCATATATCACCTTTGTGTGTGTGTGTGTTGAATTTTCGATGTAGACGGATACGAACCCATCAAGACTTGGCTATTGCATGTTTTAGCCTTTTCGATTGTTAATATGTAACTTGCGCAATTTGTTTATCAAACCTTATAACTTTCTTTCATCTCTTATATTTCAAGACTCAAAGACTTTGGAAGATTTGTTAGAGAGCTAGTAATGTGATCATTTTGCTTATGCTTATGTTCCTCTGTTGTAGATAAAACTGTTACATGAAGATAACTTTTGTACCAAGTTAACAAAATATTGAAATCTAGAAACTTTCTTAAACTGAATATACATTTTTTTCCACGGAAAAGGAAGACTAATTCCACCGAACGTAACAACTCTATGTATATATATATATATATATATATATATATATATCATCACATTCACAGAGAAAGCCCTAGTTTTTTTCTATTGCATCTGCGCGGCGGCGGTCTGTTGAAAATTGGGAACAATGACGACTAGGATATGCGATCTTCCACCGAAACTGGTAGGAGAGAAAATACTCACCAAGGTTCCGATAACGTCTCTCAGAGAAGTGCGATTAACATGCAAACTATGGCTCTCTTTATCCCAAGACTGGATTTTAGGTCAAGAAGCAGCAGCAACAAGGCAGCAGTTTCTAGGGTTTATGACGATGGATGACAAGGTTTGTTCATTGAAATTCAATCTCCGCAAGGAGGAAAACTTGATTGATCTGTCTTTCAAGCAGGTAGAGACACTTAACCAAGTCGAGATATCCAAAGTCTTTTACAGCGACGGCTTATTGTTATGCGTGGCCAAGGACAACTCGAGGCTCGTTGCGTGGAACCCTTACTTAGGGCAAACAATAACGATCAGACCAAGAACAAGTTTCCACAGACTAGACAATTATGCTATCGGATACGACAAGAAGACTCGTAACCACAAAATCTTGAGACTTGAGGTATTTGGATTTTCATGACAAAGGACATCTTTTCGCGTTCGAGATCTACGACTTTAGCTCTAACTCATGCAGGGATGTTGAGGTTACACCCGACTGGGAGATGGAATTCTTTCAACGCGGAGTGTCTGTGAAAGGAAACAGTTATTTCTATGCTCAGGGGAAGTTAATGTCTGACTTGACTAGCTTTCGTGAAGGAGAAGGTCTACATATAACAGACTGCGCTGACTTCTTGCTCTGTTTTGATTTCACAAGAGAGAAGATGGGACCGCGTCTGCCTCTTCCGTTTCACGCTTTTGGTGACACTGTGACTTTGTCTTGTGTCAGACAAGAACAGCTCGCTGCGCTGTATCAGCAGGGTGAGGATTATTCTGACGCGTTGGAGGTTTGGGTTACGACTAGGGTTGAGCCCGAGGACGTGTCTTGGAGCATGTTTTTGAAAGTGGATATGAAACCACACACTAGTCTTGGTGTTGGTCGGATTCAAGATGACTATGGGAGCTTCTTCATTGACGAGGAAGAGAAAGTCGTTGTGGTTTTCGATGTGGACGGGTTCTTGCACACGGAGGAGAGCCCTCGGTACCACACGGCTTTTGTTATCGGAGAAGATGGATACTTCAAAACTGTGAGTCTCGGAGAAGCTCCCAATATCTACAAACTTGACAGGGTTTGGGTAACTGGGCATTTTTATGTCCCGCAACATTTCAGTCCCCCACTTGTGTGCTCTTCTTCTTATCTCCCAAGTTTGGTGCAACTCAACTAACCACGCAAAAGGAAAGAAAGAGATTTGTTTTTCTTGCAATTCTTTATGCTAGTTAGTCAGTCAATCATCATCATCTTGGTTTGTAATTTTCAAGTTTACTTGTGTGACTCGACCTTCTAATCCACAACTATCATACCTGATCAAGACAGACTAAGTCACTATGTTAGACTTGGCTTGTTGTTTTTGGATTTGATGCAAAAGTTGAAAATGTCACAAATCATTAACTTGGCAAGTTTCGTATTTATTCATCGATATGGGTGTGTGTGTGTGTGGAACAACACCCTAACTCTTCGTCAAGCCAAACTTTTAGTAGAAAAAACATTACAACATGAAACAAAACATGTTAAAGCTGGTATATACATAAAAATCAAAACAAATACAGAGAGAGTAAACTGTATAAAGTACCGGTTTTTTTCTCATCATCATAGCAGAGGTTCAGCGAGTTCCATCTCGTTCGAGCTCTGTTGTTCCGACTCAATCCTTCGACCTCCCACAATATCAATCCCGAGAAGTTGCCATGGCCAACACGCATATCTAGCTCTGTTTGAAGTACTCATATCTCGATGCGTTTCTAATTCTTCGACTTTACGGTTTAGCTCTTGTATTCTTTCCCTCAACTTGGTCGCTCTAGTGTCCGCGAGTCTCAGAGATCTCTCTGCTGCATCCCTCGCACCCATGGCTGCTGCTGCCGTCTCTTCCTTAAACTTTAGTTTCTTCTCTGACTCTATTATCGCTTGCTTTGCCTCTTCAAGTTCTTCTTTAAGCACATACAGCTGAAAAAACAGAGTTTAGACCATCAATATAGTTGATAGGATCCAAAACCAGTGATTAAAGATAAATCTTTACCAATATCAGATCCCAAATCCTAAACGATCCTGAAAAACCTCAAACTCATTCTCCTAATCTTCCTTTTAAACTTGTTAGCAAGCTAACTGACTCAACTATTAGTTGCTGAGCTTTCTACACTGTCATAGTCTACTACAAGCCACTTAGGGTAATTGCAATGCTCTTGCACTAGACTAACACAAGGACTTGTTACGCACCTGTGACGTGAAGTCTTGTTCAACAGCTCCACCAGCGGCAGCCTCCTGCTCGGCTGCTACTTTCCATCTTGCTATTTCTTCCTCAGCAGCAGCAATGTCAGTCATAAGCCCTTCAACCTAAGAATCAAAGGGAACCAAAGTTTAACAAACTCTCAGCACAGTGTAATATAATTCAGTCGTACGTTGACAAATCACGCACTATAGAATCTACTTCACAGCTCGAGCAAGCATAAATTTACTCACATTTTCATTCGCTATTCTTTCCTTTTCTTTAAGTTCTTCTATTTGGCGCAGTCTATGGTTAAGCTCCTTTGTCTGAGAGTCCAATTGTTTCCTTAGAGAACTAGTCTCTTCCCTGGTTGATTTATACAAAAAAAGAAAGTGGTCCACGTAAGTTGCGCCAACAAAAGCAAGCAAAGGATCTCCGTGGACAGAAAACTACAGTGGACAACTACGAGTATCGCATATAAACCTACACATTACTTAAGAAACCACATAGATGCATTTCAAATAGTTACTTCCACGAACTTTCACTAAACATCAAGTAAGATGCCGCAAGTAAATGTGAAAGTCAGTGTGGAATCATATTCCTACTATTTAGATTGGATCGGATAATGATACCCATGGTTCCTAGGCCACCTGATGCTATGAGGTAAACCAAATCATTTACTTTCCTAGTGAAACCAAGTTAATGTCCTCTCTCAAAGTTATTAGATATAAAAAGATAGTACTATTTTAGAGAGCTTGCCTTGATTCCTCCAAAGAATGTTGTAGTTCAACAATCTTAAGCTGAGATGCCTTGACAATATTCTCCAATGTGCTTGCCTGCATTCCAAATTGGAAACATCATTAAGGTACCCGAATAAATGAAGCTCATAAAACATAACCGGCCTACAGGAACACTCACCAGGGAATATATTTCATTCTCTTCTGTACTATGATCATTCCCATCCTGTAAAGGTTTAGTGGATCTGAAACCAATACCAACATCCCTCAAACCATTCTCTGCAGCTTGAAGCAGTTCGCTTTTCTGGGATGGCTGCTCCGTTATCATTCTTGTGGACAAAGCGCTCCTCAGTAAAGTCCCAATATGTTCCTTCTCTTTAACCAATAGACCCACAGTTTCATTCAAATTCTTCAATTCATGGCTCTTCTCTTCCACCAAACTCTGCGTCTTCCCAGAAACCACTTTGGTCAGTTCAAAGATGGATTCCATACCCGCTAAAGAAGCTCGAATGTTCTCCTCCATCTCCGTCTCTTGAGGCATAAAGAACGACTCAGACAAATCCGACTGTTCTGAACTATTCCCGTCAACAACCCTCACGAACTCGTAAAGCTGGTCATGGATCCTCGACACAAGATTCAGCTGATCCAACAATAAAGGACGCTGAGCTACCATTTTCAGTTCCATAGTCTTCAACTTTCCATCATACTCATCAACCAACTGTTTCAGCTCCAAAACTTCACCTTCCAACACACTCACCTTCTCTTGATTATCTTTCTCAAGTTCAGCAATCCTCTTGTCTTTCCCACTCACATCCCTCTCTAAATCATCAACATGTGAAGCCTTCTCTGCCACCTCTAACCGCAGATTACTGATCGTCGATTCCAACTGAGACACTTCAATAGCAATCTCGTAATTCCGTTGGTCCATCTGCTCCCTAGCTTCATTCCTCGACTTCGAAGTCGTATCAATCTGCTTAACGAGCTCCTCCACAATCTCATTTGTACGCTTGATAACTCCATAGGCTACAGAAGCAAGACCTGTGTATTTCTGAGACTTGGGGAGACCTCCGTTTGAGAAATTCTTAAAGCTGCTTACTTTACCTGATATCTTCTCGATCCCAGAAACCAACATATGCGACGAATTCTCAATCTCCGATTTCCAACCATCTCTAGATCTCACAGCCTCGTCAAGTTTCTTCGACATCTCATCCTGCTGCCTAATCAATTCATCTTTACCTTTGTTTACATTCTCCAGCTCCTTCGTCAGATTCTCCTTCTCCTTCAAGGCTTCGTCGCGTTCTCGCTTGGACTCGTCGCGCTTCCTGATTGCCTCGTGAGCAAGAGCCTTTAACCGATTGAACGACACTTGAAGCTCCGATTTCGAACTCTCGGCGGCTTCTCGGGCTTTCTTCTCGCGATCGAGCTCCGCGATCAGCTCCGTTAGCCTCTCGTCCTGTGCTTCTTCCCGCGGCGGATCCTTTATAACAACAGGCGCTGGTTCATCGGACTCGACATCGCTGAGGACAGCGTCGGCGTCCTCATCTGCTCCGCTAGCCATTCCTACCTTCGTGGATCAGTGAATACAATTTTGCCTTCTCTCCGATCTAGGTTTTTGTTTCAGTAGCGTGCAAGAAATATTGACGCAATTGCTTCGCCAACGAGGCCGAATAGGAAAATGGAAGATCGGAACCAACTTTTGTACCCAACAGCCGACTCTGACCGGAAGATGGAGGTTTCTGACAGCGATACGTCGGCGTTAATGAAACAACGGCGATCTTCTACGACGGAGAAACTTCAAATCGACGGCAACAGACGACAAAATTACAGAAGATATCGATTTCGGATTGAGGATCTTCGGGTTAGTTAAAAATTTTGGTAGGCCAGCTTTGAACTATTTATTAGGCCCAACTATTTTAAAAGTTAAGCCCGTTTCGTTTTAGACTTGTAATAAGTGTCAGTGTACAAAATACAAATAGACTTTGTTGTTGCGGTTGCGGTTGGTTATAGTTTTGGGAGTTTGCATAAGCAAGCTATTGTGTTAGTAGAACTTCAAGGCATTGTGTTGGTATCACATTTTTTTGGCAGATTTTGCCAATTTCTATGAGTGTGAAAAAAAAAGGAGAACGAAAAATCATACACAAGCCTAATAAGAAAAGGATTGGAGATCCTTATAGGAATTGCTTTAATTTTCTGAAGAAAACAGGTGAATATAAGTTAAAACTTGAAAAAGGAAAGTATTATACCAAACACAGATTAAATAATCAATTAGTCTAAAAAGGTACCAAATAAAATCCTAAAACGGCAAAGATTAGGTTTTGTATAGCCATATAAAAAACAGAGGTACGTAGCATTTTTTTTTCTCACTCACAAACTCATCAACGCTCTCTCTCACTCATCTTGTTCCTCTTTGATTGATAATGGCAACAACAACAAGAAGAATCTTCTGCTTTGTGCTCGTGATGATGAGCTTCACGGCTCTAATGGGATCTGGTTGCTCGGCGAAAATCTACAAAGTCGGAGACTCCGATGGATGGACCACGAAAGGACGACACCTATTATTGGGCTGAGCATAAGGAATTCCACGTGGGTGATTCTCTGATCTTCAAATACGACCGCAACGTCAGCGACGTCACTCAAGTCTCCGATGCTCAGGAATACGAATTCTGCAACTCTTCTTCTCCTAAGGCCGTCTACAACACAGGACACGATATCGTGACTCTCACGGAACCAGGCTCTCACTACTTCATAAGCTCAAATCATTCTCAATGCGTTACCGGACAGAGACTCCACGTTCTTGTCGTCCGTGGCTGGTCTCATCCATCACTACCGAGAAAGATCCTTCCTCTAGGAAAAACATCAAGGTCGGTGATTCCAACGAATGGAGTGTTCCCGAAGAGAGTGACTTCTATTACAAGTGGAGTGAGGAGAAACAGTTTCATGTGGGAGACAATCTTCTTTTCTACTACAACGACCAAGTCAACGACGTCTTAGAAGTCAGCAGTGATCTTGAGTTTAATATCTTGCGACCTTCTTCTCCTGTTGCCACGCACAATACGGGACAAGATCTCATTAAGCTCACAAAACCAGGAATCCAATATTTCATAAGCTCAAAGACTGGTCAATGTGAGGCTGGGCTTAAGCTTCGAGTGGTGGTGCGGCCACTATTCAGAGCTCTTCCGAGGACTAGGAGGATGAGGTCGTCACCTTTGGACCGCTTCTTCAAGTGGTTACACAGATTCAGACCCCATCCCCATCACTAAGCATTCGTTTTTCTATTTGATTTGGTTTTGGATTAGCTAAGTATTATACTTTTCTTTTTCTTGTTTTAGGTTCTTTAGTTTTTAATTTCTTTCATCGTTTGTGAGGTTTTTTTATTAAGCATATTATTCAATATAAGTTTCATGTCTTTTTAAAACATAACTGAAGCACAAAACTAAAAGACATGCATATCACAAACATGTACGGAATATACCAATAGCTTCACAAAAAGCAAAGGAAATCGAACAAATGACACAAGAAAAACCAATACCTTTATATATTTGACCACAAAAAAATAAACTTTTTACTATACCAAAGTTTGCATTGCTATACAAACGTGAATACACAGTATATAACTATATTGGAATATATGTACTTAGTACCTCAAGTTTGAGCATTTACGTTGTAAGTATAGATTTGTAAATAAATCCATCAAAACCCATAAAAACTTAACGATATGAGATATCCCAAAATTGGAAAAAAGAAAGAATAAACAAAAATCTTAAGTTCGTATAATCATAGGAAGCGCCAGTTTCAGCTTATTTTCTTAAAAATTTGATAATTTTAGTTTTTTTAGAGGTGAAAGAATCGGATTTTATAATTTGGCATTTTAAATTTGTTATAAGTTCATATGCACAATAGAAATAAACATCTTATTATATAAAGCTGGATGCGCACAACGTGGTTGCGACACGTAGGATTTTTATAAAATTTAGGATTACGACATGTGTCACTTTTAATGTTATGTCCGTTAAGATCGTGACATGTGTCTTAGAAAAAAAAAGAAAAAAATAATAATTAAAAAATTAGATAAAGGAAAAAAAACGAAATTTTAATCTTTTATAGTTAAAAGAAAAAAAAATATATTTGTCATATCCTAATAGAAAAAGGTTTCTCATTCATCAAATTTATATTATCCAAACACATATAAGATTCAAATTAATGAAATAAATAAAATCCTATTAGTACATGAAATAGGTTAGGTTTAGTTAATCTTTTATAGTTAAAAGAAAAAAAAATTATATTTGTCATATCCTAATAGAAAAAGGTTTCTCATTCATCAAATTTATATTATCCAAACACATATAAGATTCAAATTAATGAAATAAATAAAATCCTATTAGTACATGAAATAGGTTAGGTAAACTAAATTTCCTATAACTGCATGGAATAAGTTACATGAACCCTATAAAAAGAGAGTTAAAGTAGTCTTTTTTTTTCTCATTCACAAACTCATCAAAGCAAACAAATGATAGCAATACATATGATTTTTATAACTCACAAAATTGCGATATGTGTAATAAAATAATGATAATAAAAAACTAACTAATAATGAAAATGAAAATTTATAAAGGTCTGAGTCAAAAACAAAATTGAGAAAGAAACAATATAAACAGAAAACTAACAAATTAATTATCAAACAACTAACTAATATTAAGAAAATATAATGAACCGATATTCTAATTTTAAATAGTTTAATATATTTTCAATATTGTTAGGTAAAAAATTATTAAATAAAGATTTCATCAATTGAAATCTCTTGAATGTAATAATAAAGTTTTGTTGAATTAATTGACTTCAGCTACTTAAATGGCTTGATTTGATATCAATCTTTTTAAAAAGTTAACAAAACAAAAACATCAAGAAAGATTAATTACACATTCTAAATAAATGCACCAGAAATGTAATTCAATTAGTCAGTTTCCAAACTCCATCTAACACTAAGAGAACAAGGGATACACACTAGTACAATTACACGGACAGTTTCAATCATTGTTATTGCAAAAACTAAAGTCAGCACAATTTTGTAACCTAACACTATTATTATTTATTAATACGAGGTCATTTCCCAAGTAGAGCATATTGCAAAACAATCATAGAAATTGATGGACCTTTAATTTAAGATAAATATACAAGAACAAATATATTTTCAATAAAGGTTAATCAATTTACCATACTAAGACTATTCCAACAATCAAAGAATCAAAATTCAATATGCTATCATCAGACCGGTTATGACAAAGAAAGAACAAGAGGTAGACATACATTCAACCAAAATGCAGGCAATCTGTTCACCAGAAAAATCTTATAATTCAAAACACAACAAAACTAACATCGAAACTCAAATTATCAAACAAAAAATCATCAATAAATGTTTTTTTCTTGTCCATTAAACATCAATGTGTGATGCAGAATGGTAGGAAACTACTACAATAACATGCATGAGTCTAACATACATTAAACATAGATATCTACATGACATTTATGGCTTTATCGACAGAAAAGAGAATGAGTTTGGAATTTGCGAACCATGTTAGGAAAAATACAGTGATTAAAGTCAAATGCATTGATGATGAGAACAGAGGAAGAACAAGAAAAAAAGCAAGGGCGGGAAAAACAGAGAGTAGTGGAGGAACCACGGCCAACATGCAAATGTAAGACAAACCACTTAGATATCAAGAAAACAAAACATTATAAACATATTATTTGTTACACAACTAAGATCATACGAACTGTAGATTGATTAATCAAGGTGGTATATTCATGGGGATGGTTACATCATGGGGATGGTTACATCATCTGTGACCAAAAACAAAGAATATGTGCACGCTGGGTAGATCAAATCAATCAGCTAATAATTTTTCCAAGCAATTAGAACTAACATATCAAAATCTTTACAGCTAAGTTCTCAGTTGAATTATGGGTATACATAATACACTACAAGCAGCCTATGAACAATTCGGGTTTCATGCCTACGCAGCATGAAGCAATAAAAACACGTGAGATTGACTGATTAAAATATGATTTACTGTTAAGTTTTCATCTTCTGGATATATGGCAAAGAAGAACAAGAAGAGGAGGGATACAAGATCACATTCACAATTGCACACTTCAATAACACTAAGTGCAAGTAAAAATTAGCAGAAAGTGAAACAGGCATACATTTAATAAAACGATAGACACCAAAGCTTCAATTATTTCTAAAATTATGTTCATTACTATGTTAAAGCAGAGAGAGAGTCAGAGCAAACGATAAGCAAAGTTTCAGTTATCCCAGAAACTATCTTATTGCAGAGAAATATCGAAAGGTAACAGAAAACTGGATCTTGTCAAAAACTTGCTAGCCTAACAATTGTTATAGAAACTACGATTCACAAAATATTAACCTAAACAACAGAGAAAATAAGAGCATAAGGAGGATGATAAAATTGGTACTTGGATATTGTAGATTGCTAGATTTTGACTTAAGAAAACTGTTACTAAAACAAAAAGATACATGTAAGGGAAATCAAGAAAGAT